TTACAGATATTTTGACAACTACAGTGATTCCTGCTCTTCAGTACTACATTGTCTTTGCACATTTTTCCCAAGGGTAAATACAAGGTACATGTACCCTATGTTGAAAATGTAATAGATAAGCTTAATATCTACAACTTTACTCACTTTAATTTTCTCAGGCCCGAAGAATGCAGGTGATGGTGGTGGTGGTTGGGGGGGGGGGGGTGGGGGGTGTCAGGGGGCCACTTTTTATGAGTATAGTATCCTGCTAAAGTAAATTTCTGATTACATGCTGATTGTCCCCCCTTTTTTGTTGCTGTAGGTCGAGGTGGCAAATTCTAGGTTTTGGACACTTCATGAGGATTTTTTTTTCTTTTGCTTGTTTTTTGAGGGATGTTTCCATCCCCCCAACTTTTGAAACCGCTGTTAAGAGCCTGTTTCTCACTGTCATAAAAAAGAAACTTTTCCTTTAGTGTATAGAGTGTCCTTATGTTAGATGTTAGAAACTGGACTTATCTCAATCTCTCTAGCCCTATGTCATCATGTGGAACTTAGGCTGTAGTATGACTGACCTGTTCACGTTCTGGATGCGAATATAATCTATTTATAGCTTTCTTCATAAAATATGTCAATGTAATTTTAGAATTAGATGGAATTTTAGATGGAATTAGATGGAATGACGATGATCAATCGATTGGCTTGCGTGATAATTTTATGCATAAACGCCGAAGGCGTTTATGCAAATTATCACGCAAGCTACTCGATTGATCACATCATGAATCCAAAAAATAAGACAGTTATTCCTTAAATAATACACAATATTCTGAAAAAGTAAAATTGATAGTCAGTACTACTATAAATAAACTTTATTTCTTGAAAAGAGGTCACACATTATATTTCTTTGCAAAGTTCCCCCCCCCCTTTTAACTATGCTATACAGCAAACCAAAGAAATGCTTCAAGAAACTCTTCATTGTTTCATGACTTCTAAGAGGTCAAAAAAATCGTGAACACATACATGAAGAAATATTTGAAAAATAATTCACTAAATAAAAGTTTAGAACAATCCGAAATCATATGGGTGAAATGTTTATACAAATAATTGTATCTTATATTGTAATTTTTAATTTAAAGATATAAATACAGTTACAATGATGGGTTTATTTTTCATTTGTTTCTGTAAAAAAATGATAAATTGATTTCCTTAAACTCTGCTTTGTTTCTTTTATTTTTCTTGCTGTTTTACCTTTTAACTAGGAGATACGACCTGCTTTACATGACTTTTACGTACTGTTATCTGTTATACTGTACGAAATCTCTTAGGCATTCATCTGTATTTGTATATCTGGTGGATGACCTATGTGGCAACCCTCTTTGAAAAAAATTACGCACTTAAGTGCGTTCATATTTGAACAAAATTAACGCACTTTGAAAAAAAATAAATTCAAAGTGCGTTAAATTTGGGACATAATGAACGCACTTTGAATTTTTTTAAAGTGCGTTAAGAGGGTACATCAACCATGGAGACACTTAACGCACTTTGACAAAAATATGCATTAAAACAAAAAAAATTCGGGACTTAGATTTTAGTAATAGACAGCATTAATTTGTTATATTTCTTTCAAAAAACTGATTAATTGATCTACCCTCATCAAGAAGAGGCTCGGGGGTCATAACGCTGATCTAGGCAACAACAGCCAACTGACTATACTTTGGCCAAAGCTTTACAAAATCAGAGTACAACATGAAAAAAACAACATAAAATGCATAAATAATTTAATACCGCTTAATACTAATCAAATAACTGTAGAAAAGTCCAACATATTGGGTGGGAATGACCAATTAATTTTTTCATACTTCTAAATACTTATCAAATAACTTTTAAAAGACCATCATATTGTGCGGGAAAATTATTTTCAAGGGAAAAATCATAATTGGTACCTTTTCCATAAGAAAAATGCGATGCTTTTAGTCACTTATCGACACCTACATCTACCGAACTTAATACAGACTGGATAAAATGAAAAAAAGAAACGAAAGTGTGCTATTAAAAATCATTCACTATTATTTCTAAAAGACCCAATTCCCTGCTCTAACATTTACGAGAACCTTTGAAAAAAAGAAAACACCTTAAAATCTTTAAAACGTCTTCATCTAAGATCCTGACGTGATGTCATCATCGAATTCGAAGTTATCCAATCAGGTTAAAATGATTATATACTACACTAAAATTTTCAAGAATATTGACCAAGCCGTGCATATTTTTCAAAAGAACATTAATGTGGTCGATATTAACACACTTCGAAAAGATTATTTTTCAAAGTGTGTTATCTTGGTCCCAAATTTTATCGCACTTTGATTTTTTTTCACATTGTGTAATTTTTCAAATAGTGCGTTTTAACAGACCCAGCCGATCTATAGTCTATTTAAGTTCTACTACTGCACCACAGTGATGCCTTTCCCCTAAATATCTTAACTAGGGATTAATTCTTCCTTCCTCAATTAGCTTAATTGTCTTTAGTAAATAATCCTAAATAATAGTTAAGGAAGAAGTCTGCTTTTGTATGATTATTCCATGGATAAAGAAAATGGGACAGTTGGAATAATTACGTAATCTTGGGCGCCCGATCAAGCAATGAAGTTTAATTATAATCTGTTGAATTTCGATCTGCACTGACAATCAATGTAAGTTACCTTTTCAAAATGTAGATATAATATATTCTTGTTAAGTAACTTATATAATGTCATTGACTTATCTAGACTACTTAAGCATAGTTTTTTCTCTGATGGTAGATATATGAATATTATTCTATTGTGGCCAAAGAATGCCTTAATTTATTTTTTGAATTTCAGATTTGAAGGTGTTAGCTAACAATCTTAAGAATTTCTTTTCACAGGTAAATTTATAGATCACACAGGTTATTTAAAGGACTATTGACCTACTTATCAGGTAATCTCCAGTGTAATATATACCACGTATTTGTTGGTAAACACTTTTTGTACTATGAAATTTGGGGTCGAGTATCTCAGACCTGTACGTCATTGTTTTGTGAGCGAATTTCCATCCATAATAACCTTCACTGTATCATTTATAATGATAGTCTTAATAATTATGCACAATATGTCAAATAGTCAACCAAGAGGCTTGGTCTTGAAGTGTATTTGGAGTGTATCAAATTATTTAGTATCAGCAAAAACATTTTGTTCGAAGGATGATCTCTCCCATTTCCTCTGTTTCCTTGAAATAGGTGGCACAGAGGTGTCTTTTATATATATATATATATATATATATATATATATATATATATATATATATATATATATATATATATATATATATATATATATATATAACTTTCAACATTAAGGATAAACACACATGTGCACAAAATTTTGTCAGAAATCAGCAAAATATCTAAAAGATTTGTGTTCATATAGATTACTTAAAATAATGTTTGCCAGGGTAAATTTGCAAAAATGTAATATATGTATATAAATATAAGATTGGGTTGTGAGTAAGAAGAAAAAGGATCTTTTCGTTGCTTTCCTCCTCGTGCTGACTATAGTTCGTAATTCATTTATGAGTGTTTCCTTTGCCTTTTCTAAAGCAGCTTCAATTAAGTTTGATTGGTATTTTTATCTGGAAAGAAATATTCTAAGTTCAAATAGTCTTGTATTTCTGCGATCCTCATCTACAACGATAGTACAAATTCTCTTGGTCATATTAAATGAGATATTTCGTTTGGTATGGCAGGGATGGCATGAGTTGAATATCAAATATGGGAATCTGTGATCTTGTAATAATGATCCATTACTGATGGGAATCTGTGATTTAGTAATAAAGATCCGTTATGATTTTTCTTCCCTTTTTTATAATAAGAATGTCTAAAAATGACAATTTGTTGTCGTTGATGTCCATTGTAAAATGCATACTTTCGTGAAACCGAAATGCATGTATACTTTCGTGAAGCTTATTTAAAATGCTGTTAAAATGTTGTAGATCTTGTAGAGATTTCGTCCAAAAAATAAAACAGTCATCGTAATAACGTTTCAAGTTTCTTTCACTATGTAGACCAAATTCTTTTCCAAAATGTGTTTTACATTCTGAAAAAAAGTTTTTCATCCAGAAAAATGCTAAAGGGTGATGTCTATGGCAGTGGATGTTATCGATTGTAAAACGTTATATGGAGAGAAGTGCTGGGTAAATGCGGTTAATGGTCGAAGTTAGCACTTTTATTCGTTAGATTTACAACATAATAGTTCCACGGTATAGTTTAAAACTTGGATTAAGCTTTTTCAAAATTTTGGCACAATATAGTGTAAATGAACGATCTCAGAAATTGGATCTCTTTCATCAAATATAGAATTTTATTTTCTCTATATTCTGACTTTGAAAAAAAAATTATTCTACTTTGAATTTTACAAACATTAAATCATTTAAAAAATTTACATTTTAAAAACATCATGAAAATTTGATTACATTGAAATAAGTATTTGTTTAGAAGTACTTTGGATAAGAAATCTCACAAATCAACATACTTGTTACAAGTAACTATCTGTACCGTTCAGGTACCAGGTACCGTTTGTCTGATCAATTACTATTTTTATTTTTTGTTTAAAGAAGTTAAAGAAAGTTTTCAACACGTATGTATACAATACAGCAAACACGCTTAAAATGAATTCACTCATATACAAAGTAATTTTCAATCTCTGTAGCTGTAGTTTTAACGTTTAGGACGAATTAAAATTATTTATACCTGGTACTTCTCTACAACCATGGTTTGCTATATCTAGCATAGGCTAGGTTTGAAAAATGTAGACCTATCACTGCTGATTATCCTTAAAGTGAAAATATATTTAAGCCAATTTTGGTAGAGAAGAGTAAGACTATTCCGATTCATCGTTCTTGTCAGATTTTAGACTATGCCTTATACATCACTTTGTCCCACATCACAAATGCAAAAGTCATTGATAACTTCCCGACCAGACAATATGTTGACTAGATCGCAATATCTTTTTTTAATTTTTACAGCCCAGGGATCATGAGATATTTAAAATCCTCCAAAGTTTTCCTTTATTAGAGAAAACAGTTTAAAATTCATGGGGTTTATTTACGATGTTTCAATTGGACCACTCATGCATTAACAAAAGGGCAATAAGTGGACCAATAAGTGGACCATACAAATGGGTATGAATTTCTGAAGTTTTGGGCGAAAACAGTGCAACAGTGCAAGATGGCGCAGAGTAGTAAAGTGATTTTAATGACTATAATTTTAGGCTTATTAAAACAGATTTCAAGCAAATGTATGAGCCACGATGAAATGCTAGTGTATCATTGGATATCAGTGGAATTCAATTGGCCGAACGACACGATGAAGCAGGAATACATAGACTCTGGGAAATATATTCCTGAAAATAATGCAATAAACGGGATAAAGTTGTATAATGATGATGTGTATCTCACTATACCCAGACTTAAAGATGGTGTAGCTGCTTCTCTGGTAAAGGTGGACAAAAGTCAAGTGAATGAAGAGTCGCCTAAACTAAATGCCTACCCCAGCTGGGAGATGCATACTCAAGGGGACTGCAATAAACTTCAGTTGGTACAGAGCATGGAGATAGATCCTGAGACAGGGCTTATGTGGATCTTGGATACAGCTTACGTCCCTCGCTCACCTACGGAAGTCGCTGAGTATTGCTCACCAAAGATAGTGATATGGGACATAAATCTTAACATTGAGGTAGACCGGTATGTTTTCCCTGAAAGTGTTGTGTTACAGCGTTTCTATCTTAATGATCTCGTTTTGGATTACGGATCTGAGAACGAGGTGAGATATGTCTACATTAGTGACACTCTAGGATGGAAGATGGTCGTGTATGATCACAAAGAGAAAAGGTCTTACAGTTTTCTTCATTCCAGTTTTGAAAGAGATCCTGCATATGCTAGTATTTTGATAAATGGCCAAAGTACTATGGCTCCACTAGGAGTAAATGGAATTGCTATGTCCTCTGATTTCAATGAAGTTTATTACTGTCCACTTGCTTCTCAAACACTGTACAGTGTTCCAACGTCTGCTCTCCGAAACAACAATTCCAACATAAACGTCGCCGTAAAAACTCTCGGAAGCAAAGATATACAATCGGATGGACTTTATTACGGTAAGGGAAGATATTTGTACTACTCTACTTTAGGTCAAAATGGGGTGTACCGTTGGGACATTGTAAAAAACAATAAAGAAGTATTGGTTCAAAACTCTGCAATAGAATGGGTAGATTCCTTAGGTATGGACGAAAACGGTTACCTTTGGTTTACCTCTAACAATTTACATACGTTCTTTGGTAATAGCACCTCACCTGGCAAAACAAATTATTACGTATGGAAAGTGTATGTTGGCGAAAAAGGATACCTAGCTGCTCCTAAAGGCAGCCCTAGACACACGTGCTCGGCGTCAACCTCAACAGGAACACACCCTGCAAACATCGCAAACAAGTGGGTGTCATTGGAATACGAGTGGCCAACATGCGAACAGAGAAAAGAAGCAGTAAATTCAAACAAATTCATTTTTGAAAATAATGAAATCAGTGGAATTAGGGTGCATGGCGGCAAAATCTATGTCACAATACCCAGAACAAAAGATGGCGTCGTTGCCACGCTTGGTATTTTGAACGACCACTTTATCAAGCCCTTTCCGTCAGCTGCCATGAATACGTTTGGCGATTGTAACGCTTTGCAACTTGTTCAAAGCATTGAAATCGACATGAATACGGGTCATATGTGGATTCTGGACACTGCCATCGCCCACTCATGCAGGCCTAAACTAGTTGTTTACGATTTATACAAAGACTCGGAAGCGTTTCGGTATGAGTTTCCGGAAAGTGTGTTGGATCAGGAATACTTTCTTGAAGATCTGGTCTTAGATTATGTCAGCGATACTGCTGCATTTGCATATATTTCAAACTCTCTGGGTCACAGTCTTATCATATTCGACATCAAAAATAGAACAGCTCGACATATAACGCATCCGTCAATGAATTTTGAGAAACAATACGAGAATATAACAATAGCAGGTATAACACACGGACCTTACAGAAAAGGCATCAAAGGTATCGCTATTTCTCCAAATTTTCAATACGTTTACTACACACCTTTGGCCGGAAGAAAACTTTATCAAATTAAGACTTCTGTTTTAAGGAATGAGAGCAGCTCTAGTACAGATATAGAGAACTCTGTACAAATGGTTGGAAACAAGGCTTTCTCGAGCACGGGTCTTTATAGTAGTAAAACTGGTTTATACCTCACAGATCTCAGCAGTGGATCCGTCTACAAATGGCATTTTTCAACATCAGGAACGTTCACACCCAATCTTACTCCAAACCAAACTTTAGTGACTAAAAACTGTCTGTCTCAATGGTTAGAAAGTCCTTTTGTGGATGAGAAAGGACTTTTGTGGTTTACATCTCGCAACGTTCAAGCATTTCTGGGGAATTCCACTACCACTGGAACGTTCAACTTCTTTACATGGAAATCGAATGTCGGAGATAAAAGTTATCTTTCCGGACTAGTAAAGAAAAGCACATCAACAGGGACCAGTTTGTCGAACACTTCATTTATAGGAGTCTTAATTGTTTGCCTGCCACTGCTATTTTACTCCCGAATTTTCTAAACGATTTAACTTGAAGTGACACGAGTTATACATTGTTGGCGGCTGCCGATGAGTGTAGAACAATAAAAGACATTGAGACTTGTCAGAAAAGTACTTTAAAACAAACAAGTAAATACTTTACATCATGTGAATTTGTCGTTAATCGTTTTTTGTTACCTTAATAATTTCAGAGAGTATTGAAATGAAATGTATGAAAGCATTTAGAAACATAAAGACACTATCTCGAGAAAATTCATAGACATTTATAAACCATATCGCCTCGTTACTATTGATTTTGAAGCGCTTAAAAGTTTGCAGTGTTATTTTCATGTCACATCATTTTGTAAACCATTCCGCTGTTAGTTAATTTACTTAGTCAATATAATTTATGTATATACAATCAGCATTAAAATATTAATGTATGCATGTACAAAGCAAATATTTTCCTCATGTTTTTACCTATAGTACATTTTCTGTCGGGTCATGCCCTGTGACAGATATTGCAGCATAATTTATGCAGAACGCATAAAAATGTACGACCAGGCATGAAAACCCCCCCAAAATCATTCATTTTGTAAATTCTTCTTTATTTTCAATAAGGGAAATACTTTCTTAAACGAAATACCTTATTAAAGTAACATTCTAGAAGGTTCACAATGAGGCAGTGACTGACAAATTCTTATATCGATCATGTTTAGATCTCGTGGAAAGAAAGAATCCTTGACATAAATTCATGTCATCTGATCTATGTTGGCATTGTCACTTTGAACAAAGAAAAAATACTATTTTTTTTATAAAGTCAACATAAAAAGGACATTTACAGTTCTCTCAAGGGTGTTATTAAATTGTAAACTAACTTATATCATATATATCTATATCTATCTATCTATCTATCTATCTATCTATCTATCTATCTATCTATCTATATATATATATATATATATATATATATATATATATATATATATATATATATTACAAAATAATAATAATACATAAGATAGACTAACAAAATGAAAACATTCTTTATACATCTTTTCAAAATAAAGTAAATGAATAATGTAGTATTTTTATGTTGTACACCGTGACTATATTTGATTTGCACTAAGTGTACCAAATACACAGTAAAATGTAACAATGTATTGTCACAATGTACAATATGCATTTTGTATAGTTACATCTATGTTTGTGATTAATTGTATCAATGTTGAATGAAAAATATGTTCTAAGAATTAAAACGCCATGAAAAAGACCTAAGAGTATGCTAGTATGTGATAAAGTTATCATTCCAGTTTATCAGGAATAACTGGGTATACCCTGTAATTTACCAAGTAAATCTGCATTGTCTTCAGATTCCTAAAAAAAATGAACTAAAATAATAATTCACAATAAATAAGATAAAACCTTGATCTCACGTGATTGTCTAATATTTCACCCGTAGGTGTTTGGTGATAAAACGAAAAAAATCTTTATTGAACTGCAGTGAAGGTAACGGTACCTTTCAAGAGAGATGTTTGTAAGGTGGCGTTACCTGTAATAGCTCTGCTTGAAGTATCAGGCGATGTCTTTTCTCCCCTGATATTAACACTCTTTGGTAAAATATATATGCCCTGAAAAGATCTTCGAAATTTTTAAAACCTGTAAACACATTGCAAAAGTCAGAAGAAAATTTTGATCACAGAAAAGTTACTTTTGAAAATTGACACCTATCAGGAGAATAATTCATACTCTTTTTCCATATCACACCCCCTTTCAGCCCGAGACACCAGCAGAACATAGGAGCCTGAGGACTGATATTGTATGGTTGAGGGCTGATGCAGGGTGTGATATGGAAAAGGGTATGTTTTATAATACATGTATTTATTACATTCTTATAATAACATACAATGCAATAATTCGGGTATTCTATAAATTTATATGTAAATCTTTTCTAACAACACTTGTTATAAAATATTTGATTGAAAAAAAAGAAAATAATTACTATATTTTATCATAAGGTAATGTTAATTCCTAATTTAATTCATTTTTTTCTCTGTTTTAGCTTACATGTAGTTAGAAATTAAAATCGATTTAAGTAATTTTAATTTTTAAGGTACATTCAACAGAAAGAAAATATAGACATGTACCTCATATATATTAAAGAAAGAGTTAACTGTGGCATCACAATAGCTGTATCAGGATCTATGCATTACAGGTACATTATATATAGCTGAACCATGCATTAGGGATCCGTAATACATGGGCGCTGTTCACCTTTTGTGACATCATATTGTATGCAAAAACCTGTATTTATTACTAAGTATGTTATAACTGAAAATAATGTAACACTTTTAGTGTTTATGAACACTTTATATTTTATATCATATTTTTTGTGACTATTTTTTGCCATGTCGAAAAACAACCAACTACTAGGATTAGTAATTATGATACCCAAATGTCAGTATCTTACAACAGCAGAAGAAACAAGGGTAGCACCACGCTGTCTGACACAGCCCACTGCATGATTCTCTGGAACAGAGGAGACTGTTGTAGCTGGAACTTCGTATACACTGATGTAGGCTTCTCTTGACCGAAGGGCCCACAGCTAGAAGAATGTCCAAGGTTGATAACCTGCTGACTATGAAAGAATGAAGAAGATATATTTAACTACTACATATGGCTTTCTTCTTTCACACTCAAAAAGATTACGATTGTGATCAAATACAACATCTAAAACCCTTTAGCTGAAGAAATATTGCAATACAATAATTTTTCATTCAGCGGCAATTACTCTAAACGAAGGTATAAATTACTTAAACAAAGCATTTGAGGTTATCTGTGCAAACTATCTTAACTATTCAGAAAAGATATCTAAACTAATTATTTGATGTTAAAGAAACAATTCATGTATATCGTACTTACGTAAAAAGAGTCATCTATAGATTTTGTGAAATTATATTGAATCAATATACAGTATATCACTATTAAAAAATCGTGTACATTTTGCCAAATCTACCAAGTTTCAAACAGAAGATTTTTTTTAATTGCTACAATAATTCTGTGGGATAATTCAGATAACACAGTCAAAGACTTTAAAGTTTTTAATTTTGATAAAGAAGTTTTATTTCTTCATGTAAAGCAGCATACCTGCCAATGACAATGGAAATTGGAATAATAATCAGGATAAGTGTGACCAGTAAAAATGCCGTGAGAAAACCCGTGTTTCTTGACTGACTCCACCGCTTCAGAGGGGGTTTGCAGGTGTCCCTAACAATGTAGTAGTTCACATAGAAGAATATGACGTCAGAGAAGACACCGATCAGCGGAAGTAAAGGACAGGCCAGGGTACCAACCTGAAATAGTAAACACAGTCTCTTTCTATATAGATAACACCTTATATAATAATCTTTAATGAACATATTCATTACATTTTTCAACAGTGAAATACTGTAATTTATCTATTGAATAAAAGTGATATTCAGTCTCAGTGTGAAAGGATATCAAAGTAAGTAAAAAATAATTTCTGGCTTGTCATAAGATAGAGATTGTAACTAAACTATCTTGAAAGAGGCTAAAAATGCCAATTTCTTCCCCAATATGCTCCTGAAATCCATGTTACAATATTTTCAATCTCACAACCGCTAAGCTATTCATGACGTGTCAACCGCTTGACTATGAAATCACAGCCTAGCTAAAACACAGTGTTAAAAAAAGACAGAGGCAAAGGAAAAGCAAGGAAAATGTAATAAACCGAAAATTCATTTTTTGCAGTTGGATGCGGAATTTATTTCACTCGTCGGACAGGACAAGCTCTCGGCATTTTGGAGTGAAAGTTGCGGGTCTTTTAAATGAGACCTTAAAAACCGAGGCCCCGTAACACGGTAGGCGTTGGCACGATAAAGAACCCTCACTGCTTAATGGTCTTGAGTGCCGAGTTAAGGTCTAAATTTGAAGCCCTTCACAGGTATATGGTGACGTCCCTATATGAGTGAAAAATTCTCGAAAGGGACGTACAACAACATACAATCAATTAATCAATCCAGTAAGGGTAACTACAATAATCAAAACCAATTAATACTAATACAATATAAAACTTGATATACTTTCATACATACCCATATAAGTCCTTGTCGGTAAATCAAAACTAATGCTTGTCCTGATATAACAAATTCTGACTTTTCCTGCGTCCAGAAATATCGAATGTAGTTCACTGCTAGCTGTCCGAATAACTACAACAATTCAGAGAGGAAAATGGAAAACTTTTTTATCTTTATCTAAGATAATATATATAATAACATGATGTATGGTAACTTTTAAAGCCACATCTTCTTTATGAATTTGACAAATGTCTCGTTATTTCTGCTGAACGTTTTCTTTCCGATTTATATCTTCTTCGATAAAAATGATTTTCTTTTTATTTCTATAGTGGTAGAGTTACATAATATCCTTTGTGTCAAAGATAGAATGTTTCTTCTTTTAATTTTGGTTTTTTCGCTGCAACATGAAAAAGAAATTGGATATCAACCAAAATCTAACTCTTTGTACAGTGGTATGCAATAATATTTTTTTTCTAAAAATACATGTATCTGATAATTAAAATACTTCTGTTTCTGATAAAATACATACATAGGCATGTTTCTACATACATTTATTTCTTAACACATCGCAGTTACGGTACTAAGTTCTTGTGTGAACAATAAAAATATCCCTTTTATGATTATATTTTCTTTTATCAAATATAATTATACTTATTTGAATTATACAAAGGCGACAAAATTGAACTTTGTTTCATTTCATATGTGTTTTGTATATGCTATTACCAATCCCTAGCATCACTTTTCTGAACATTTATCGTTTCATCTACATTTTTCGATCACAAAACAAAGCGCACCGCAGAGCAGATCACATCCCCCCCCCCCCCCAAAAAAAAAATCCCAATATAAATTATTACTTTAGTAATTTCAGTTACGCACTCTCTCACTCACCCTTTACTTTATCCCATCTAACTTGGTTGCGAGGGGACAATAAGCACAAGAATTGCAGTTAATTACAATTGATTTGAGAAAGTCAAATGTACAGGGAACAAAGTGAAGCTGCTAACAAAACTTGCAGATTTTTTTTTCAAAAAAAAAAACAAGTATACATTACTAAGGATAGTTTTACATTTTCGAAATTAATAAAATACTAACTGTTAGCCAGTTAGCTGAAAGATTGATATAAATGTACATAGAATAAAATGCCCAAACCAATTGATATTTTGCTTTTGACTTGTTGACCTGACCAAAAATTGTTCCGACTAATAGTTATTTTACAGTTGGTATTCAGAGTATTTTTATACCGGAAATATATTCAAAATATAAATTATTTTTAGTAGTTTTTAATTAATATTTTTAATATTTTTAATTTAATCTTATCTATTAAGAATACATGAATATTGATGAAAAATGTACTTAAGAGTAGGGAAAATTTTAGAAAGCAGTGTTGACTATATTGAGGGTAAAAAACTTAAAAAATGAGTGGTTGTGACTTCTAAATCACTCCGACATATCCATTGCATTCGAGATAACCGTGTTTGAGATACCGATGTTCAACTGTATATCGTTTTGTACAAAGATCTCTCTCATTTATATTGACTAAACAAGCAAATGCAACACCTACGTGTACAAATGTATCCATGACAACCAGTTTGTACAGTTCTTGTCCTATAACTGTTCCAGTACAATCATATGTTAACTGGAAAAAGAAAATAAATATGTGTACTTTACCATTTGAAATTAAGACGATAATAAGTTCTTTTTAAAAAAAACATCAACAAATTATACCATTAGAATATTAATGTGTTCTTTTTGCATCTAATAGACAGTTTAATACCTATACCATAGAATTCTCTTAGCGGGTTACAGTTAGAGCTAAAGTTGGACTCTCTGAGAAAGAAAACTCGGGCTTGAGTACCATGAAAAACCTTAGTAAGCCGACTATAGAATGCAACATTGATAGCTAAGAAATTTAGCATCCTTTGGATGCATACAAATCACTTTAGACGGAGTGACTAAAGGTACTCCCCAGCTTCTTTGGTTAAAATATACATATATATTAATTATACTATAAACATAGCAAGACCTGCGACTTACACCATTTTGGTCTATTTTACCTCGGCCGGAAGTAGTCAAATATTGACATGCATAATTATATATTTCTAAACAAAATAACTGATCATCTATTAGTGTAAACAGTTTATGTAAATACATATCGCTTAGCTTAAGACTTTAAGCACTCCCAGTCCTAAGCAGAACGCATGAGCTATCATTACATTTTATGCCTAAACAGACTGAGACTATGGAGTGCTAAGGAGTGAAATATTAAGATAATGAACAGTACTCAATCTCGAAAGTCAAATGAAACGGTACAAATTTGGAGCACAGCTAACACGGACCTCAAAATTTAGAGGTGGGATCAGATGCCATGGAGGAGTGAGCATCCCCTGCCGACCGGTCACACCCGCCGTGTAAAGTAAATATTTTTTTATCCTTAGATAGAACACTGCTGATTTTACATACCTTAGTAAGCCGACTATATAAGGTCACTATGAGAGCAAAGAGATTGGCCATCCGCAGACAAAACACTCGGGCTAGAGTGATACTCAACTCCACCTTCCCATTTGAATACTTCTCAATCATTGGTAACTGAGATATACAAATAAAAAGAAAATAACAAAGAATTTTCGAGGATTTGAATGAATCTAGTTTTAATTTTGCTTTTCTGTTTTTAAGAGGGTCGTTCAAAAATTGCGCGGACTTGATACAAAGCGATTTCAGCAAAAATAATTGATGACAAACACAGATAAAGGCACAAGTATTGAGTGGTCAACAAAATTTCATTTGTTATAAATTTTCAATGACTAATTAGGACCTATCATTAAGTCACGGCAAATGTGAATTAAAATTTGCAACGTAAATGGCATCTTAAAATATTTGCGCTTCTCATTTTCTCATCGTATTTTCCCCTGTGTTTGAAACAGATTTGTTTTACCTTATCCACTCAATATATTAAACATTCACATACAATTTGTTTTTTAACCTAATTACTGCAGATATTTCTGAAATAATTGTGTGAAGTCGGCCGCTCTCAAGAAGAATTAAATTTTCTTATATTAACATTTCCTTTCCTCCTGGATTGCCTTTAACTGAGGTCCTACCGTCTGGAATGCTATTGTGCTATTTGTAGACAGTGTGGCAAATCACAATCACACGGAAATCCTTTTTATCATTTATTATGGCGATTAAAGGCAAATAACAAATCCACAACGGTTAACAATCACAATACCACATTGGCTAAGATATTCGGAATGTTTTCTAATATATACTTAATCTTTTGTTTCAATCTAATCTCAATCTTTTTCTCAATCTAATCAATGATCACAAAAACTGTCACTTATATACTATGAAGGAAACATCTAGAAATAGAAAGTTCTGTAAAATTCTAGGTCATCATATTCTCACATATTCTAGAGAATTCTTGATTATTCATTCAAGTAATATGTAGAACATTCTAGATTTCACATAATTAAATCAATTCATTAAATTTCTATAAATGTTCTTGAAATTGCGACTGTTCGCAACAGACAGATGTCTGGTATACTTCCACTTTACTAAATGTTTCATTAAGCATATTTTGAGTATCTATTGGCATTTTCTCGAACACTACTTGCGATTTGATAAAAGCGCGCTGCAAATACTTTGGCCTCATTTTGCAGTGTTGTTATAAGGAGGAAAATGGGAGAAAAATTACAATTTCAGCCAATACTTAAAATATTACGTCTTATTTCTAAAATGCATAAAAAGAAACTTTAGGAAAAAAATTGTCAGGTGATATCGTGAATTGTAAGAGAGAAAAATGCATGAAATTTTTGATTCGGTAAACTTTTGTTTTCAAAAATGTTTGCCGTGCTCCGTACTGTCTGATCACCCTCGGACATAAGAAAGCAATATTTTAAGGAGAAATTAATAATTATCGAACAAAATACCAACCTTTTACAAGAATCTATCTTAATGAAATATGTTTTTATAAAATTTTATTGATTTTTGACATCTGTAAGAGTAAACACTAACAGAGTCAGTGCAATTCTCTAACAACATAAAAAATTAAATGCTACGAATCTTCTTGATTTCTGACTGCTGACGATAAAAGCAATATATAGTATATGTTTGCCTTATCTTAAGAATATTTCAAAGACTACAGGAATTTATCATTTGCTTTGTGTGATTTTGTATTTAATTTTTTATAATTCCGATATCAAGGGATGTAAACTGTATTTGCCGCATTTTAAGAAATCGGAATCGCAAACAACTCATGATTTCCTGCTTCTAAGATGTCTTTACTCCAAAAAGGATTTAATTTCGATTCTGTATGTATAAAATCTGTATACAATGGATCAATTGTGAATTTTTGCCAGTAGTATCCTTAGTTTGCTTTGTATCGACGGGATGAGTCTTTGTCTATTCAGAAGTCATTTTTTCTGCAACCTACATTTAACCACCATCATAGATTTATTCAAATTTTTATGGAGCTTTCCCGGTATAACACACCAAATGACAACTTTGTTCTGCAAAAACTCGCCAATGACGGAAACTGATAATATATCCTAGGGTAATTTTTGTCCTCATTATGACTAATGATGTATAAAATATGCATTATTAACACGATTACAACAGTTCACATCAATGCACCAAAAGTTATATAATTGTAGGGCATCTACCTGAAAACGACAGAAAATTTGACGATTACCACTTCATTTACATGTATGTATCATAATGCCTGGCAGAAAAAATCACCAATTTATTCTAAGAATGGAAGTTGAAAGATGCCTTATATTTCTGCAGGTACCCTTCTACAAAAAGATACACATTATTTTTTTTTTCTACAGGTGCCATTTTTATTTATATTTTTAAAATGTGAAAATACAAAGTATTTTTTTTTCTCATCGTGAGAATAATAGTAATATATGCTTGTATATCAAGGCAGAGTACTCACATGGTCATAATGTTAAATTCTTTCTTTAAAATTTTAACGCCAGGAACTCCAAAAAATAAATTAAAATAAAAGTTGTTTAATTATTCAGTTTTAATCAGTTTTCGATTTTTTGCATAAATTTTTGAGCCTTTACTTAATATATTTGAATTTTCCGCTGTATTCACTGCACAACTTTATTTTAAAAATTTCAATAAAAAGACGGCAACAATGGATAAAATGAAAAACCAACTAATTGTAAGAAACAGAAACCTAATTTCTTTACTTTTAATCTTTATAAATTAATCAAATCTTTTTACCTTGGTTATTATTGCAGGGACCAGCATATTAATGAGACTAAATACAATAGGTGTACCATATACATGTATAAAATCAGTCTTACTCTCCTGAAAAATAAAATTCCGACAAGTACTTATATTATTTTATCAATGAGACTGAACGTGAAAAATGCACTATATTTATAAAATCAGCCAGTTCCTTTACAAAAATACTGATTATCACACATTATCTTTCTCATCTTTATCATAAATGAGATTGAATGCGATAAATGTACCATATAATTGTACAAAATCAGTCTTACTTTCCCGTAAATAAAAGAACTGATAATCACAAATAAACTGTTAATATTCATATCATGCAAAAGGTGTGCATTAAATTGTACCACATACATATATAAAATCAGCCCCCCCCCCCCTCTCTCTCTCTCTTGTAAAAATACATAGCTTGTAAAATTAACACACATTTTCCTTTTTCTTTTTCTCATTGCAAGCAAGACTGCATATATTTATACAGCTCTATTTTTTTTAAACTAATATGCTTCTGTGTACAAATTCAATGCATAATTTGGAAGTATTGCTACTAAATACTAAGAAAACATGCAAGCAAAGGATATGACGAAGTTTACAATTACACCATAGTTTTCATATTCATGATTGATATTTTTTCCTTTGTAGTTAGTTACTTCCTCTTTCGCACGAATAAGCTGCATATCTTTTTTTTAGCCGTTGGCATGTATTGACCATGATCTCTATTCCACTTTAAATTCTATCCTAACTAAACTGATCATGAGCTGCAATAGGGACTATTTTCCGGTCACCTTAGTTTAACAAGAGGCCCATGGGCCACATCACTCACCTGAGACTTTGGCTAAAAATTCAGTATTTTTATGAGTGGTATCAACCTATCCCTAAGGGGGCATGATTTGAACAAACTAGAATCTACCCTAACTGAGGATGCTACCAATTTCTTTGACAAATCATGACTTAAGAAGATTTTAAAAAGATTTTTTTCCTATAAGTTCTATCTTCTATTGTGGCCCTGCCTACCTCCAGAGGTCATAATTTGAACAAAATCGAATTTACACTACCTGAGGATGCTTTCATATAAATATGACCAATCATGGCTTTGCTGTTCTTGAGAAGAAGATTTTGAAGATTTTAAGATTTTTCTATGTATATCTATGTCAACCTTTGATCATCCATCGTGACCCCACCTATAGCCAGGGGTCATGATTTGTACAAACTTAAATCTACACGACCTGAGGATGCTTCCACATAAATATGACCAATCATGGCTTTGCTGTTCTAGAGAAGAAGATTTTTAAAGATGTTTCCTATGTATTCCTATGGAAAACTTTGATGGTTCATTGTGGCCCCACCCTACCCCGGGGGTTATGAATGAACAAACTTCAATCTACACAATCTGAGGATGTTTCCACATATTTAGTTTCATCTTTCCTGACCCAGTGGTTTTAGAGAAGAAGGTTTTTCCTATGTATTCCTATGTAAAGATTTGATCATCCATTGTGGCCCTGTCCTTTCCCTGGGGGTCATGATTTGAACAACCTTTAATCTACACAACCTGAGGATGTTTCCACATAAATTTCATCTTTCCTGGCTCAGGGGTTCTGGAGGAGAGAAGAAGGTTTTACCTATGTATTCCATTGTAAAATTTTGATCATCCACTGTGGCCTTCCCTTTCCCCAGGGGTCATGATTTGAACAAACTTGAATCTACACTACCTGAGGATGCTTTCATACATGGCTTTATTGTTCTTGAGAAGAAGATTTTTAAAGATTTTTCCTATGTATTCCTAAGTAAATCTTTGATCGTCCATTGTGGCACCGCCCTACCCCCGGGTGTTATGATTTGAACAAATTTAAATCTACACTACCTGAGGATGTGTCCAGATAAGTTTCATCTTTCCAGGCCCAGGGGTTCTGGAGAAGAAGATTTTAAAGATTTTCCCTATATATTCTTATGTAAAAATTTGATCGTCCATTGCGGCCCCACCCTATCCCCGAGGATCATGATTTTAACAAACTTGAATCTACACTACCTGAGGACGTTTATGTAAGTTTCATTTTTCCTGGCCCAATGATTCTTGAGAAGAAGATTTTTAAAAGATGCCATAAATTTTTCACTAATTTGTAATTATCTCCCGTTGAAAGAAGGAGACCCTTCATTTGAACAAACTTTAATCCCCTATATCCAAGAATACTTTGTGGCAAGTTTGGTTGAAATAAGCCCTGTGGTTCTTGAGAAGAAGTCAAAAATGTTAAAAGTTTCCAGACGGATGGACATACAGACAGACAGACGACGATGGACAATATGTGATCAGAAAAGCTCACTTGAGCCTTCAGCTCAGGTGAGCTAAAAATTGCTTTGCAATAAATATTTAGTTCCTAAATGTGTATTAAATAAGTTCACAAAAGTATATAGTTTAAAAAGTTTTGAGCTTACATGAACAGTGTAGTATAAAATCAATTGAACTCTTCTTTATGCCCTGAGTGCTAAGTAAAGGTCTAATTCTAAAGTTCTTCATCGTTATATAGAAACATCTAATATGAGTGAAAATTTCTCAAAAATGACGTACATGTTATTCAAAGTGTTAAAGTGATCACTATAGTAAATCAAAGTGTCAAAGTTATCACTATAGTTCACTATAGAAAGTATCACTTTAGTCAACTACTAGGGTAATGCCATTTTTACAACTTAAGTTCGCAGGTGCTTGTGGTCAGTACACCCAACCCCCTTCCGCGTATCCAAACAAACAAAGCAAAACAATACCTGAGACAGGATTTACATACTGGGGAAGGGGGTTGGAGTCCACAAGCACGTTTGTTCCAATTTCTAGAGTACTATCTTTAATAGGAAAATAAAATATGATACATTAGCCATAAACATTTCTGAAACATAATTTTAGTTTACATTAATATCCAGTGATTAAATTTCAGTTAAAATAGCCTAATACAGCTCTTACTTTGGTATCTGAAGTCTGGTCTGTAAAATTCACATAAATAACGAGGAATACAATGGTAACACAAGCGCCACCAATGATAAGTCTGAAAATAAAAAGGTTATTTACCCGACATATCAATATCATAAATAACATTGGAATCTTAAACACTTAATTAAGTACTTTGTAATGTATCCTCGAAATAGTGGGATTCATAGCAATATAATCAACATATATTTTACATATTTTACACATCAAACAAAATAGAATTCTAAGAATGCTAATAAATCTGAGTTTAATTTGAATATCATAAATTACTATAATTTTGCACTTAAGGCGTGAGTAGTTATATTTTAGCTTACATATCTTTTCTTATATTGTGAAAAAACAAAGTAAGATATCAGCAAATAATAACGTTTTGCTTTTTAAATTGCTTTGAACCAGACTAGGATTCTAAAACCAACCATCTTCATTCTAGTATACTATTACTTACACTGTAATGAACCAAGCTAGAATTCTGAGACCAATAATTTGTCTTTTGTTCATAGTGTATGCAGCATCTTTAGCTCTGGCTTCGTATATATGATCCTGAAAAAGAGACCTTCTACCTGGCATTTTATAATAAGGAGTGCTTTTTGATAGATTTAAAATGGCAATATTAGCAGCAAAAAGGAAAATTGAGATAAAATATACCATAACAAAAATAAAAACTTTATTGTTGCCCTTTTTATTTGATTAATAAACAATTTATTATTTTATTTTCAAGTCAGTTTGCATAAATCTTACCTAAATGTTAAAAAATATGCCTCTGTACACATTTTTATTTAACACACTAGACAAGGAAAAATAATTCGACTGATTCTGACCTTGTCAGATTTTTCAAAGCATCTTTTTAAACATTACACATACCTTCAGCATGCTTACTATGCATTTAGACAAATTTTTGCTGGCCGCTGGTGACGTCACAGAGTAGTCCCAGGAGGACAGGAGCATAAGAGAAAATCTGAATCGACTTTCAGCTGCCGAGGTCGATCTCGGCGAGGCTGCTTTTCCTATGCTGGGGACCAAAACAAGTGTACCTAGAGTTACCTTTCAGAAATCCACAAAAGACTAAGGAAACAATATTAAAACTAAAAGCCTTTAAAATTAGGCTTCCTCAATTCTTCTACTATTGCACTCTGGATTACTGTAAAATCATTTCAATTGGTGGGGTAATTTTATTTTTAGATTGCTTAAAATTGTTTGAACGTTATTTTCTAGGCCGAGGTCTCGTTATGAAAGATTAATAATTATGGTTGCTATAAAGTGATAGATGGATAGTCAGAATACCCACTAGATTTGCACCAAGCATGCAAAAATCAAAATACTATGATTCCACAGTACATATTATTAAAGATATAGTTATTTTTGTTTCCTTCAAACATTCTAAGATATTAAGATAACTTTTGTTGTTTTTTTTTCTTTTCCTTTCTTTTCCTCTATTTCTTCTCTTGTGACATGCCACTGTACCTTTTCAGTATAACAAAGAGCGTCCCAAAATATGTTATGATGATCAAAGATAGGTATGCAAGGGCCAGGTAGTAGTTGTCACCTAGGGTCCATGGCTGGTATCCTCCATAGAAAACCCAAACCTCCCCCAACACTCCCTGAAAAGACGTTAAAGCCAATAGAGTTATTGCTCTTTTCACAGGGCAATTCCTGAAAGTACATGTGCATGGAGTTACACAGTTTGGGGTTTATTCTTGCGTTCCATAACTAGTTGACATTGTAGATTCTGTAAAACTTCAGTTTAGCTGGAAACTCCATTTGTTCTTAATATTTTGACAATAAATCATATAACTTGTTCTGTAGGTTATTGATATGTACATTGTTGGTGTTTCGATAGACAATGTTATATTATGTTTAAATGTTATAAGACATGGATAAGAATAATCAATTTGTTGCAAGATTTAGTGAGCATTCACCGAAATATTTCTAATTTGTATTTCAATTTTCAAACAAATGCACAAATGATCATTTATACAATAACAAGCAATACTATTAAATTGTTATAATTCTATAATAGTTGACTTTATTGTGTAACAATACCTGTCCGTCAATTAAGTTTCTAAGTGTGAACCCGTGTGTAACATTGCCATAGGGGAAGGTTATTGCCATGGGAACCACAACAATACTGAGCCAGAAAAAGGATAGAACAAGATTCGTCATCAGAACCCATCGGGTAAACACAAAGAGAGCACCAATACTGGAACCAAAGTTACCTACAAGTAACAGAAAAATCGTTAAACACAAATAGAGCGCCAATACTGGAACCAAAGTTACCTACAAAAAACAGAAAAATGGTTAAACACAAAGAGAGCACTAAAACTGGAACCAAAGTTACTTTCAAATAACAGAAAAATGGTTAAACACAAAGAGAGCGCCAAATAACAGAAAATGGTTAAGCACAAAAAAACACGAAATTGGAACCAGAATCGCCTACAAATAACACAAGAAAGATTTAAACACAAAATAGCACTAAAACTGGAACTAAAGTTACCTACAAATAACAGACAAATGGTTAAACACAAAGACAGCAACAACACTGAAACCAAGGTTACCTAAATATAACAGGAAATTGTTTAAACACAAAATAGCACGAAACTGGAACCAAAGATACGTACAAATAACAGAAAAATGATTGAACACAATATAGCATTGATACTGGAACCAGAGTTATCTGGAATGAACAGAAAAAATGGCAAAACATGCATACACTAAAAACACACAAACTTAACTAAAATCAAGATAGACAATGATAAACGTATGAACAGAGCACTTGGTCTGTGACTAAAGATACACTGTGTCTGAGGACGAAATAAATAAAGATAAATACATCGAAAGTAGTAGATTATGACTAAAAGATTCCCTGAAAAAAGTTAATAAATGGTAAATACGTATACAAGGCATCAATATTAGAACCAAAGTAATTTAAAAGGTAAATATACTCTCGCGAAAGGAACATACATGTAGCACCATTATATTAAACCCAAAATGTTATCTGCAAACAAAATAAGCTATGGTACCTGTAATATATGAACACTAATACTGTAACCAAGTAATATACATGTATATTGAGTCAAAGCAACAAATACAATTGTGAGTACTAAGCATGTACAAAGCAGGAATATCAAAACCAGCTTCATAAATTCAGAGGAACAACCATGATAAACATATTAAAGGGTTCTAAAGAAGCAATTCTGATTCGGTTCAAAGTTGCACTTTAGATACAGATACAGCCACAGGTAAAGTATATATTATGCAATACTTTTTATGCTATAAGTAAAATTACCAACAGGTCTTGTTTAACACAAGTTTAGAGCAAATGTAGTAATTAAACACACAGTACATATAAAAGAGTTTATATTGTTTTTCAGAGTTATGTTGAAAGAATAAAAAAAAAAGTAATGCTGAAAGAATAAAAACCAAAGTCAAGAATAAACATACTTTCTATTTCCTTGATCTGTTTTCTAAAGAATGGTTGTTCAATCTGTTTGTTTTTCCAACGCTTTTTCCATATCTAGAGTTAATAAAAAGGTTTTAAAATCAAATAAAATTTGTACAGTAACTTTTAATTGCGTAATTTTTTTTCACTGACGATATATATGTGTTTCCCATTGTGAGCAGGCTTCCGCGATGTAAAAGTATGTGATTTTTTTTAAAGTTTGCGTTAAATTTGAATATATATTAATTATATGTGTACATGAAACTCTCTTTTACAATGTAGTTACAATATATGTACTCAAGTAGTTACACTGCATGACAATCAAATGAATTTTTTTGCGGTGGATGTTAATTTGCATTTTTTAAAGAGGGGGGGGGGGGGGGCAGTCGGGAAGAAAAAGAAAAAAACTGGAATGGATAATTAGATCATATGACTCTATACCTTCAATTTGAATTGATTCTTAAAGCAATGAACTGCTTTTACGATGTTGGAATATTTTGCTGTAAACTTATAGTTTATTATTTCAATGAAAGAAAAAAATGAAGTCTTATAAAGTTTGTTATTCATAACAGAATTTGGAGCGCATGAATGAAACAGTTATATTATTGCTATCCAGTATAAAAATTAATTTCTTATATCATACTTATAGATACACTCTGTTGCAAAAGTCTTTCTTCTGATAAAATAAAATGCTTAGTTTTTAAGTCGTACTGATCATAAAGGTTTATTTTTTCACATGCAGAATAATCATTACAGTACATTTTAATGGAAAATAAAATTCTCGGAAATACAGCTTATATAGTATTTAATAATTGAGATAACGGTAATAAACCTTTAGTGAATGCGGATTCCTTTCAGAGTAACACACCTATGCATGTACCTTGAAATCGTGAATGAGAAGTCTGAAAAATCCTAGCTTCGCTCTGATGTTGTTCTTTTTAGATGCACCGTCGACTTCACTGAAAGAAATTCAAATAAACTTAATCTACCCCCATCTCTCTCTATCCAAGATAAATCATTTTAAACATTATAAATATCATTAAATTTTATTAGATTTAAGTGCATTATACATGTAGATAAAGAAAACATGTCAATTTTACTCTTTTTCTCCGGAATGCAGTATTTCTTCAAGGTACATATCTTCAATGACCTCTCCTTCAGGTGACTGAGATTTTATAAGATGTCCTTGACCTCTTAGTAATGACGTATTTGAGGGCTTTTCTGGCTGGCCCTTTATTAGCGTGTTGGACACAATTTGGGCCATCGATGATCTCTTTCTAGCTATCCCCTTAAACAATAAATTAAGTTATTATCATCGTTATATTTTCATGTTAATTAGTCAAATTTGGTTGATTTAAAAACATTTGTAAAAAAGTACAATAATTACCCTACTGCGTGCATAAAGCACGCCCCACGTAGCAACGATTGAAAATGCATGACATCCATATTAAATGCATGGTTAACAGTACAGAGTGACTGTATAAAAACTGTTAAATGTGTAAAAACGTGTGTGCATACGGTTCTTTATGACATTTTCCTTTAAATGCATTTTTAATCAATTCACCGTAACAAAAAAAATTTCAAATTTTCTTTAGGGTAATGTGTGAAATTGTTATCCCTTGAAAACCATTGTTGACCTCGGCTGCTCCCCGGTCAACACATTGGTTTGCGCGGGATAACAATTTCAGATGTTACTCTAATAAACGTGTAATATTTTTATAATAGCATAAAATTTTCCTTTAATGCTGGTTGGCCCCATCCAATTTTGTGGTCAGTTTAGGTTTGTTTGTTTGTTTTTGTTTGTTTTGTTTTGTTTTGTTTTTTTTTTTTTGCTTGTCAGATTATTTTTTTGGGGGGGTTGGGGGGGGGGGGGGTTGCCCCCGTTGTTACGGGCCTGCTTAGTACCTGAAATAACTTATCTGTTGTGAATTTTGAAGAAAAGGTTTCACAGTGTACATCTCTATCTGCATGATTCGAATATCTATAAAAGATTACTTTTCTGAAAAAAAGGATAAACGAGGATGACATTATCAGGACTTTATACTTCCATTTATATTACCTGAAATTGATTCGTCGAGAAACATTTGTTGAGAAGTACTGAAAAGTCTAAAAGTCCCTTTGTATGTTGAAACCACCCTTTCCAGCTCGATACATGTACACGATGTAGACCTTAGCTACAATCAACGTAAACTTTACTAGGTGGACGACGGATGATATTCTAAAAAAAAAAAATGTTGACTGCGCGGAATGTAAGTGTGTGTGCTTCACCTTTATTTGTATAAAACATTTAGTATTTCTAACATAATAAATACTGCATTTAGTTAAGGATAACAATAAAAATTTTCACCCGTCGAAAACCGAGGCGCAGCCGAGATTGACAACGGTTTTCTTGGGATGAAAATTTTCAACGTTACTCTCAACTACATGCAGTATTTGTCAGAAGAAAGAAAAAGAGACGAAAAGGACATAGAGTGCCTGGAGAACCAACAGAAAAAACATTTCACATGTGTTTGGATTCCCACCCTATCTTTTTTTAATTATTTATTTATTTACTTACCCCAAGGCTTGTTCTGGAGTGATAATTGTGCATCATGAATAGTGATCCCTGTCCTCTTAGATTTACGATTTGTAGATGATTCTTTGTTCAATGAGATGACATGTTATGTTCCTTCAAAGACTATAAAAAACGAAAACACAACTTTAATAAAACTGTATATGATCTTAATACAATGCAAAAAACAATAAGGAAAAATCAAGGATTGACTGGGGTCTATATTGTATGTAAAACAGACGTTCTAAAAGTATTTCAATATGGGATAAAATATTAATACAGGGTTGACCATGTCATTTGCATTTCACATCTTAAATCTAAAGGTTAGTATCTTATTTCAGCATACGTTATCATGTAATTGTAACAATTTTGAAAATTCTTGCGGAAACCTACTCTTCCATGTACAGATTATGACCTCTGTGTGTTGTAGACCCTAATGTTCTAGGACGTATGGGAACACTGAAGTCCCCCCTTTAACCCCCCCTTTAATAAATCTATTATGGTACTATTAGTAGTATAAAGTAGTATACAATGTTAATTTGAACTTAACTTACTAAAATCAATATTGGTCACAATCTATTAAGTCACAATATGAGCGTCGGCGTCGTCTGCAAAGTCAAAAAGAGATCAGCAGTCCAGTATTGTCCGAGAGACGTGACAAATCATACCAATGCAAACATTTCAGTTCATATTTGGAAAACTCAATCAAAACTGAGATGAACTTTGCAAAATTTCAGTCTGAATATTGTTTAAAAAAACCCAAAGAAATCTTGTACCGTTTTCAAATCACATCGGGTTCGATATCCCCCTAATTGTCTCCCGTTGTGAACTCTTTTGGAATGTTTTATTGACAACGAGTACGAGCGAGCCGTTCGGATTGTGTCACGCATTTTGAATCCTTTCCAGTGCTTTTATTCTGCAAACTGAGACAGTCACTATAGTACAATAACGATATCAATAGAAATGGCCTCATTTGGAAGGGGAAAAACAAGAACAAAACACGCCACGAAACAAGAAATAGCGGGAAAGGTGTGTATTCTTCTTTTTTAACCTGTTAACTATGTTTACTATGTTTTTTTGTATCAGACTAATTTAAAGTGTTGTTATTTATAAAGTATATCTGGGTGTTTGGTAAATTATATGCTCTGCAGACTACAGGTCATAGATCATGTATATGAGTTTTAATTTTAAGAACTCTCTCTTTTAAACTGAAGTAGAACACTGTAGAAGATCTCACAGATTCCGATATCTGTTTTGGAAGAAAAAAAAATATTGACATCAATATTTTCTATACTAAAATCTGAAAATTTTTACTTTATTTTGTAAATCTGTTTGTTAGCAAGAAGAAAGAACAAACTAAATGGTCTGATCTGTTGACAGCTATGAGATAAATATTTTTATAACATAGGTTCAGGAGATCCAGATGAGACAGAAGAATTGGATGGAACAGAGAGAGGCAGCCTTAAAACAAAAACCAACATCTGCAACAAAATCAGGTAAGAGGGAGATGCCCTAAGCATTAAGGTCATACTTAGCAGGGTTCTCATTAACGCAAGAATCTGCGTCCTAGACGCAGCAAAATTACTTGGGACGCAAGGTTTTTAAAAACGATGCGTCCGCGGACTCATGGTCGGACGCGTCCTCGTTAGCGAGAAAATTCGGGTGATCTAGAAAACGGGGAATTTAGATTTAGGATTTGTCAAAGAAATATTTAATCGAAACCTTCCTGTAACTATCATAAAGTTTATCCAAGAAACAACTTTTCTTGTACTTATTTCTCTTCTTCTTTTTTTTTTAAACAGGGATTGATCATAATTAAGATATTTCATGTTTATTAGTCCATAGTCATAATAGTGTCGCATGCCAAACTCCGACAGCTGTAAACACACTGCAGCTTTCTTTGTAAAACCACTTTTGAATCTGAGTGTTATCTACATGTAGAAACCATAATTACTGCTTGTATACACAATGCGGCTTGATTATCTCGTGAATTTCACCCAGTGCAGACGACCGACAGGATTAGTTACGCCTCATTGCACTTGACACCTGTGATTGTATACAGTAAACTTTTGGGTACTAGTTGATTATGCAACAGTTAATTTTAGCTTTATAAACACCAAGTTATTTTTATGGCAATCGATTACGTGTGTATTTTAGAATATGGCTTGAATGCATTTCTAGTTTATATACTTGAATATGTTAATATTGCGTAAACAAACTGATAAAATGATAAAGATTTTTATTGATGTTTAGATGGAAGGATACTGCAATAATTTAGTTGGGACTCAACATAATTTTTCTGGGACGCATCAAATTTAGCTGGGACGCAACCTTCTCAAAAATCTTGAGTCCTGGGACTCAAGTTAGCAAAATCCTAGTGAGAACCCTGCTTAGAGCATGTGATAGGGCACAGGGTAACGGGTGGGTTTGCACCTCGAGTGGTTTCACCCCAATTTATATACCTGTTACCTGTAATTAAAGGTGTCAAATTTTTGCACATTTGGATTTTGGCAGTTTGCTATGATAAATCGCCAAAAGTTCTATATTTGTGGTTTTTGCATGTGTGCAATTAATTACATATCTATTTAGGCCTAAACTGTAAAAACGATCTACAGAGTACACATGCTGGTGTTTTAAATAAAGTAAATCTTGTTTGTTTAAAATTTCAGAAAAAGACAGAGATTTTTGGAATAAAATTGAAACACTTAAACAAAACCTATTTATTTTACAATTTAAACATAGATGGAGTTGTTATTTTCCTGTGTTCTTGAGTTTTGAAATAAAAGTTTGTATCATGTATATCTGTATTAATATCGGAAATAATCATTATTAGTATTGATTGGCAATTTATGGGTTAATTGAATTTAATTAAAGTGCTCATTAATTATATTAATCTAAACACCCACTGATCAAATGACTTTTGCTTTAATTAAACATCAAGTATACTGCATGTTTGAAGAAAAGCATGCAGGGCGAATCAACTCAGGGCGAACGGGGAAACAGCACGAAACCTCTTAGTGCGAACAGGTAATCGGGCGAAACCACTTGGATTCGGGCACAGGATTCATGTACCTTATACAGTGTACCTTAGCTACAACTACTTTTTCAAGATAATTTAAAGTCATAATACATGTACCATCATGGTAAAAATTAAAGTCATCATTCATTACCAGGTGTTTTAAACAGTTATCAAATAATGAAAATTCTTGTAGTATTTGAAGAAGAAATGACAGAAATAAAGCTGGTATTTCCTCAGAATTTGAATTTGAAGAGGTGCAGCATTGTGAGGCATTATAAAAGTCACACAAAGGTCCTTCAGTTTTTGAAACTCTTAAATTTATATGAGAATAAGTAAATAAAGTTCAAAACTATGTTGTGAATGTTCGAAAAATCATCACAAATTCTGAAAGTTTCCACATAAATTGAAACCTGCCTGATTTCATGGTGTTTCACATAAATGTGCCACATGGGTAAAGAGCAACAGGTTTCTTATTAAGGAAAATATAGCGATTTATGACTTCAAATGTAAAAAAAAAACCCTTACTTTTGATTTATGAAAACATATAACAAGATATGAATTGACTGTATTAGCTTTAAATGAGCTGGTATGGAATTAAATATCACTCAGAAAATGCTTGTTGAAGTTTTTGCATATATTTATATTTGTTTCTTCTAATTATTGAAGATCCTCATGATTAAGATGATTTAAAGTTAATTTTCTCTCATTGATATTTTTCAACAGCAGAAAAAATAGCTCCATCCAAAAATAGAACATCCACCAAAGAAAACAAACCCTCTCTGACAGAAAATTTAGGATCCTCCTCCAACAATCAAATGCATAAAGAGAGGTTTAAGTCTTGGCTGGCCAGTAGAGAGAGGAGAGAAGAGGAGGATCTAAGAGAACGAGAGGAGGATCTAAGGGAGGAGGATGTCGATATACTTAGAGTCTCCAGTGCCAGGACACCTGGGTATGCCAGTCCAGAGCCAGGATGGGAGGAGACATCAGGGAATTATAAAGGTACATACAGTGTATAATAAACAAAACAATACTGATATACTGATAAAGTGAACTGCACTCATTTTTCATCTTTAAATGACAAACTGCAGCATTTTCAAAATGTTATGTTCAGATATGCTGTAAATATATATTCTCTTTTACTTTAGATACATATTACAAGTAAACTTGCTTTTGTTCAGACTTGTATGAAGTCAATATGAATTATAGGGCTGTGCATCTTGAGGGGAAAAAAGTATCATTATGTATCATGATATTTAGAAAAATTATATATGCAATATTTGTCATAATTGAAATATCAAGTTTTTACATTTATTAGCTTCTTGATTTTAGGGAAGGAAAATTTAGATGTCAAAATTTCTTTTAAAAAAAATATTCTAAAAGACTTTTGAACATTCTAAATCCAAGATTAAAGCAAAAATAATTAAGATTTGACATTTTTGTTTTTAATTGCTAGAGGAAGAGATAAATTTGACTTTTTGGTATATGGAGTTGTGCAAATACTCTAATTATAAGATCAGAATATGTCTATAATATACTTCAGTGCATTGTAATACCTAAAATGAATTACTGTTAGTTATATGTTTTATTTTAAATAATTAATGAATGAATTTAATAGCTATCCAAGTTATACCGTATAACCTGTGTTGGGACAATTTACACTTCATAAACCATAAAGCGGTTTATAAAAATGCGTAAACTGTTTCTCCTTCAAAAATGCCTTCAAATTGTACATATTTTAGATATAATGTCAAGTGGATTGTTACTTTTTTGACGAAAGTCATTGTGACATAGGCAACACAGGTTATACATTATAAACTATTTTTTTCATCCAATCAAATGACGTCTTACAACCAAAATTAAATTATTTGTAAATAATTATAATGTTCAACTCTGTAAAACATTAGAGTTTAAATGATATTATGTGTTTGTTTATTAGACTACCAGCAATCTATGATCATGAGTCAGATGATGTCAGCGGAGGATTTTGATGCCAAGGCAGACAATATTCTGTCTCGTGTAAAATATGGACTGGACAAACAGGATGGATCAGGAGATGATAACAATAAAGGGACCTCAGACCTGTCTAGTCATTACTGTCCAATCTGTAGAAATATAATGGTAGGTGAACATATGGCAGGGTACATGATATTGATAATACTGTGAAAACTGTCTAATCCGACACCTGTGCAATCTGTCACACTGTGAATTCCGACATTAAATTTTGTTCCCATTTTACTATTTTCCATGTTTTCGACACTGTGAAATCTGACACCCTGTGTATTCTGACACAAAATTCATCTCCCATTAGTTCATGTCGGATTAGACAAGTTTCACTGTATTTGTATATTTTGTTAAAATTTGAGGAATTCATCCCTCTGATGCTATGTATTACATTTGATGATGGGTTAGAAATAAAATATTTAAAACTTTAGAGAGGCCATACAAGCCCCAAATTTTACAAGTTTTACTCACCAACATCAATATATTAGGACCTACATTTCTAATTGAAAGGTACAAAACACTTACATGGAAGAAAAGAAAACTCTTTTTAACTGTTGTTTTGCTTCAATTAAATTCCCTCCCAGGTCCACTTTGGTAGAAAATTTCTCAACTTTTTTCTCATCATCATGATCATATTCCAAAAGTATTTCTTGAGGTCCACAGTTAAATTTTTCATTTTTCTGTGGGGTTAAATGTTTTTCCTTATATTACATTATTTGAGCAAGGCACATTTAAGTCTTTATAAACAGGTTTGTCACCTGACCATAAATTCATTGTTTAGTCATAAATGATTGACATAATTTCATAGTGAAGCATATGGATCATCAGCATCCAGATAAATGGGGCTCCACTGTATTAAAGGCAGTTACTTGGATTTAATTTTAAGTTTGTTCAAATTCTCTGAATTATTTTTTTTCCAGAAGGGGGACCAGCATTCACCTCTGATCTATGTTCCATGTGGTCACAACACTTGTGTCTCCTGTTCTAAGGGTAGACAAATCTGTCCATGTTGTGGATCCCAGGCTTCCTCTAAAACAAGGAATATCATGCTCATGCAGATTATAGAGGTAAGCAGGAAGGGGGATTTTAAATTCACAAGTTTTTAATATCCCGGATAGACTTGAAGTCTTCAATTTGCAAGAATACTAATTCATGAGTGGACTGTTGATCTAGAGTTTTATGAAGTATCTCAGCAATTAAATGATAAAAGCCAGTCAGTAATTTTATTTAGTGAATGGTGCTTTTCAGGAAATTACATGATAATAAATTCCTCATGTATATTAAGGAATGATTAGTATATGATGTAAACCAATAGATGTCGTTTTCAAGACTCTAGTGCACTAAGAACTACGCACGCTAACTCTCGATTCCCGCCTACATTTTAAACCCATTTAATTTAACACTGATGGCAATTTGGCTGTAAACTCTTTGTTGAATGCAAAGAATAGTTCAATGGTAATTGACTGATATTTTAATGCCCCGCCATGAATATGGCCGGGGCATATAGTGTTTGTCATGTCCGTCTTCCGTCCTTCCGTCTGTCCTTCCGTCACACTTTGCATTTAGCTCTGTTCAAAGCTCAGTTTCAAAGAAACTATCCAAGATATTTTTATCAAACTTCATATGCTGATGCTGATAGATATTGATGAGAGCTATGCAACTGCTTCAACATTTTTTGACCTTGACCTTTCCTTTGACCTTGACTTCACTCTTCTTAAATTAGTGTTTAGCTCAGTTTTAAAGATACCATTCAAGATAGTGTAATCAAACTTCATATGTTGATACATACTGATGTAAGCTATTCAACTGCATCAACATTTTTTGACCTTGACCTTTCTTTTGACCTTGACCTCACTTTTCATAAATTAGTATTTAGCACAGTTTTAAAGATACCATTCAGGATAGTGTAATCAAACTTCAGATGTTGATACATACTGATGTAAGCTATTCAACTGCATCATCATTTTTTGACCTTGACCTTTCTTTTGACCTTGACCTCACTTTTCTTAAATAAGTGTTTAGCTCAGTTTTAATGAAACAATTCAAGATATTTTTAAGTTTTAACAAACTTCATATGCTGATACATACTGATGAGAAATATTCAACTGCATCAATATTTTTTACCATGACCTTTCCTTTGACCTTGACCTCACTTTTCTTAAATTAGTGTCAAATTTCATATGCTGATACATACTGACGAGAGCAATTCAAGTGCATCAATATTTTTTGACCTTGACCTTTCCTTTGACCTTGACCTCACTTTTCTTAAATTAGTGTTTAGCTCAGTTTTAAAGAAACCATTCAATATTTTTATCGAACTTCATATGCTAATACATACTGATGTAACCTTTTCAACTGCATCATCAATTTTTGACCTTGACATTTCCTTTGACCTTGACCTCACTTTTCTTAAATTAGTGTCAAACTTCATATGCTGATACATACTGACGAGAGCTATTCAACTGCATCAATATTTTTTGACCTTGACCAATCCTTTGACCTTGACATCACTTTTCTTAAATTAGTGTTTAGCTCAGTTTTAAAGAAACCATTCATAATATTTTTATCAAACTTCATATGCTAATACATACTGATGTTACCTTTTCAACTGCATCAACAATTTTTGACCTTGACCTTTCCTTTGACCTGACCTCACTTTTCTTAAATTAGTGTCAAACTTCATATGCTGATACATAATGATGTAAGTTGTTCAACTGCATCAGTATTTTTTCACCTTGACCTTTCCTTTGACCTTGACCTCACTTTTCTCAATTTGTGTTAAAATGTTGCATTACTAATATACCCTCAGCGGGGCATTCATGTCCTATGGACATATTTCTAGTTATGCAAGTGTTAAATGGTTAATTACCCATAATTCCAGTTCTTTAAATAAGGGGGGTAGACGATATTTTCCATTGAAATTGGGCTTTAAAGCACCAACACATTTTAAAATATTCTTGGATATGAATAAATGTTCCTTAAATCTTTTCTTATGTTTTACGCATATAAAATTAAACATATATTATTAACAAAATACAATATTTTAGTTGTAAAACCTTTTGAAATTGGTGAAAAAATAAGCATTTTTGTAGTTTTTTGTCTGTAAACATATGTTCCCCCCGTGAAACACAAAAAGCTTTGGTATAAATTTGTGAAATGACAATCCATATTACCTGTAAAAAAGGAATTTTTGTTTCACGGGGGGAAGGGGGGGTTAAAAATATTTTCCGTTGATTTCTATAGTGAAAAACACAAGTTTTACCCAAATTATAGAGTTATCTCTTCTTGTTTTCCTAAACAAATAATGTTTTATGAAAATTCATATAAATATTTATATAAAGTATGAAAAATCATTCAAATATGTTTACTTTTGAAAATTGACTTGGAGGTAGGCGGAAGAACAATGTTATCGTTCGCAGTTCTTTATTATTGCATTAATCAGTTGAAGGGGAAGATTATGTTAAATTTATGTTAAATTTTGAGTGTCATAATTTATGAATATTTACAGTAGATACGACGCTGATAAGTACATTCTATTTATGGAACACTAAATTTAAAAAAAATATATCAGAATTTCCAGTACTGAAGGATAAATCAGTTAGAATACGGTCTGTCAGATAATTTCTTGTAAACTTTGCAGATTTTTGAAATCATTAAGATCATAATAACCTAAATTTATCACCTGAAGACAAGAGCTATGATAAATATTGTATATGTGTCATGGACCTGCAATGTTAGTATATAAATTCATGCATATTTATTGAAATTTTTCATAAATTATGTAGGATACTTTTATGTACCTGTATATTGAACAGGTATTTGTTCCATGGAGATAAGATACTACTTTTCTTCTTTTTTTCAGGAATATCATAAAAACAAGCAAAAATTCAAAGAGGAGCAAAATAGCAAAATTGAAAGTAATGAATATAACTCACAAAGCCTTGAAACAGCTCCAAGGAGAAAAAGTAAGTAGACCTCTAGATCTTTGTTTAAATGTGTAATGGGAGAAAAATTATAATGGTCATGATTTAGCACAAAGATGCATCTCCATTAGACCAAATATTGTAGCCTCACATTATCTTTTCCCACACCTTGTGCCATCCTTATGCAATTACTACCAAAAACCTGGAATCTAAATTCTTGCATTACAGCAATTTTATATAGTACACCTTTTTAGAATAAATATTTTAATACATGTATGTTCTGGGATACCTTAGGGTACGTGTATAAACAAGCTTTAAAACATAGCTTCTGTCCAACTTTGTGGACTGGGATCATTAGAAATATATGTCCCAGGCAGATTAATGTAAATCTTGAGAACAATTTGTCAGTAATCCAGGATTTGTTGAAGTGAATCCATGGTTCCAACTTTAGATTGAGTTCAAGTTTTAAATGTTCTAATCTTGAACAATAGCATATCTCAGCGATTTGTCCAGTCCAACTAAGCTCCAGATGCCATTGTTTACATGTATCTGTTTATTTAAAAGTGGATGCTCTGGGTTTTTTTTTTTAAATCAAATGAGTTTTTTCTTAAAAAATAACTTTTTTTTTTAACACCACAGGAGGAATCAATAAAACAAAGTATAGAGAAGAATACGAAAATCTGAAAATGAGACAGGAAGTTCTAAAAGTAGAAATTAAAGACATTCAAGGTCAAATAAACTCCTATGTGAAGGAAATTTCAGCCGGAGAAAAACAGGTTCTAAGTGTCAAACGAGAAGAGGAAAAGGTAATAGGTCAAATTCAATCTCTACAGGAAAAACTTCGAGCCCTGGAACAGCACAGAGCTCAGTATGAGACAGATTGTGAGTGTACTCGACAAGCTCAGAAAGAAGCTCGGGAGAAGCTTCATCAAACTCAGGACATATTATTGACAGTTGAGATACAGATGGAAAAGGTGAGACCTTTAATTACTATTTTATACTGTTAAATGCTTGATAAATCAGTTTATTAGTGCTCAAACTTATTGCTTATTAAGGTTTACAAACTCATCTTAATTGAGATTATGAACACTTATGAGAATGATATGTAGTCTTTGTACAGAAGATGGCAAATTAGTGTCAAAATATTATTGAATTCAAAAGGCTTTGTGAAGTAAATATGTTTAGATATTCCAAAGTACTAAGTATCAAAGAAGAATGTCATTGAAGCTTTGTCTCCAACAATGTTTTTTTTTAAAATTATGAACAACATGAACATTACACACATATTGTGAATTACAACATTCACCATATAGAGTTTAAAGTCTGTATTTCAAGTTTGGCTAGAATGAATTGAATAAATATTTAAGGAAATTTTGAAAGACAAACAAAGATGAACAGATTAATTTTTTTTTTTCAGGCAAGGTTATTGGCTGAACAGTAATCATGGTAATGGTAATGGAAAATGAACATGAAAGTGACCAATTTCTTAAGATTTCTGGACAGTTTTCCTCTTCAGGTATCCTGAAGATTTTTGCACCATTGGAAAAAAATGTACACAGTTCCAGCTGTAACTACATGTATTATTGTACTGGAATCCTCTGTAGAAAGGGCCATAACTCCCTCAGATAAAGTTCTACTATTATTACAAAACGAAGTCAAGATTGGAGACCAAAACTTTAGGTTAAAAATGTAGAAGAGATTCTCACAATTAAGTGGATAGCTAAAGGTGTTCAGTAGGGTCTGTATCAAAATTTGTAGACTTGAAAAAAAACCCAGCTCACCACTCACCAGCACATCATGAGAATGCACAGGTAGATTTCTAAATCAGTAATAAATCTACCCATGCATTCTCACGATGTGTTGTTGTTGTTTCTGTTTATTTTTTTTCAAGTGTATCATTATTAGTTTATTTCATTTTCAAAAAATATATCAATTGTCTTTTCATATACATGTATATACTGAAGAGCATTTCTTAATTGAAGAAAATTCTTTGATTGACAGTCAGTTCATTCTACTTGGTTTCACTCAGGATATTTGAAGATGTATCCTATATAGTTATATATTTATTTTATAATTCAAATGTATACATATACAATATGCCAAAAATACTTTTTCAATCATTAACTGTTGATAATTTATAAAGATCAGATATTAGCAGTAGAGATTATCTGGTCAAACAAATGTTTTAATAATTTCCTCTGTCTGTATCATGCAAAGACCAACGTGGATATTTTTAGCAAATACATATTATGTAGCTATGTGAATAAGATGTTTATATTTGATAAAATAACTATTTTTCTTAAATACTTGTAAGGCTTGTTGAAAAGAAAAGTTGATGTAAATTCTATTCTTTGAATGAATTAAGCATTTTTGATTGTGTTTTTGAAAGATTTATCTGGGGAAAGGGAATTAAAGTGATCAGGTTTCACTTCCTAGTCTGAAATTAAACACATTTATATACACCTTACATATGTGCTGCATTTAATTAATATCTTTAAGGTATTTTCAGAAATGGAAAAAAAGAATTCTTGATATAAAAAGCATTTTGTATAAAAGAATGATTCTTCATATCAAAGGAGTGGATTTTTAATATCAGAACATCACATTCTTTTTGAGATGAAAAATATATTTTCTTATCAGAAAATAATTTCTTGGTATCAACTAATCATATCAAAATCAAATCAAATATCGGAATTAAAAAGATTCTCTGAAATTGAATTTTTGATATAAAGAAGTCATTTTCTGATATCAGCAATTGGATTTTCTGATATCAGATACAATAAATGTGTTCAATTAAATTTTGAAACTTAAAAAAATCGATTTTTTTTATATCAGAAAATATAACATTGTAATAAAATCAATATTGATTAATGATCCCTGGGATTATTTCATCATCCATTTACATGTATATACAATTCAGTCAGTAACTGGCGGTATAAATAGCCTAAGACCATTGTAGATTATTATTTTTTTCGTATGAAGTAAAACAGGGCACATTTCTCGATACATGCATTTACATTGCTGACAAAGATCTGAAGTCTCTAATTTCATAATTAGTCTAGAATCCTTTTGAAGTTGGATTAACAATCAATGGTAACAGATTTGTAATCCTTGAGGAACTTAAGAAATCGACAAATAAGTATATTACATTATCTTAGATAATTCACACGTAATGCATTCGGTAACGTACGTAGCCTCAATCTAGGTCCCCTGAAAATATAACCTTTATTCATCTGTTGAACATCAGCAACCAAACTGGTAACCCTTACCTTCATTACTGTATGTGTTCATGAATAAAAACTCGAAAAAAAAGCGTTTTAAACATTTTTGGTAAAATATTTTACTTGTCAGGGAGAATTAATTATTTTTCATGGATCTAATATAATCTTCAATATTTGTCGAATTCCTCATATATGTATATAAAATTGTATAATATAAAATTGATTTTATGAAATCAAAAAATTCAGCTGAATTTCATATATCACAAAATGTGTTATGTATATATTTTTTATATTTTATGCCTGGAAATAGTTTTTTGATATCACAAATCTACGTTTATTTACGTTTTTATGAAAAAATCTAGTAAGCCCTGATTTCAGAAAAATTCCCATCACTAAAAATGATTTTGAAATTCTAAAACGGCGTCCTCAAATATATGTACATATATACAATTATATAAAAAAATTATTACAATTAACTTGAGTAAGTGTCTTTCAAACAAAACATATTTTATTGTTAATACATTTTTTAAGCTTGAAAAATAATCATTTCTGTTTCACCCACAATGGTAACTGTCATGATATATACATGTATCCGGTAATAAATTAATTCTGAACTGTAAACATGACGCTTTGCATTCCCTTGGTCATTAAGACGTATAAAATTGTTGGCAAGATGCATACATCAAAAAAAAACTATATATCAAGGTGTCTTAAGTAAGATGTCATCTGTAGTTATGTTATTAGCAGCTAAGAATAATGACACACATATTAGGCTGAATATGATGCAAAAAATGTATTAATTTCACGGTCCAAAGGTTTCAAAGTTCCAGAATGGAATCTCTGTGGTTGTTGACGAGGGAGGTTTATTCACAAAATTCGAGACGCTCTGTTTGGATCCTGATCCTGGTACATTGACTGCCAATCCGTACTTTGAGGGCATGTTTCTCCCGCCTGCATTTAGTACTACATCTAAAGGTGACTGGTCATGTAGCTTACCACTTCCGGCCATGTCATTAGGTCCCTTACACCAGTTAAATGGACACATTTTACACTCGCCTCTAAGTGAGGATATGGATAATGTCTCTATACAACTTGGTCGAACTTTGCTAAAGTCTGGACAATTAGATGGGTCTATCCAGGAACAGTACGGTAATTCTTCAACAGGTCGTGGAGTTCCTTCTGATTTTACTACAACCGTAACTTCAGAATTTGATAATGGATTTTCAGTGACATCTTTTTTAAACGGACTGACATCTTTTTTAAACGAAACAGATTTTGTTGGCAAAATATGAGACACTTTTTGTCCAACTAGTGTGATTTCTAGCGCATTTGCCCTCGCAGCATTTGTCGTCTTCTGAGGTGACACATGCCATTTTGACGATTTTTGGCTTTGTCTCGGTAACACTTTTGTTAACTGAACATTTTTTGTTGAACTTTTGCCTTTGAAAGTTTTATCAGTTTGTAACGGGAGGGTTCGGTCAACATGCAAGGGGAGTTTACTATTACCCACATTATTCGTAGGTAATTGTAACCAGGTTGACTGAACTATTGGGAGTTTCTGGGGTATGGCAGTTTGTTTTGTGGAAATCACTTGATGTCGGATTGGTCCTCGTGTCACTTGTTTGAAATTCTTGAAAGGTTTGGATTTTGTTACATCCGGTAGTTCAACTCTACTTTCTCTTGTCTTTTCTTTGGGACGTTCAATCCCTCTATTTAGAAGTTTTATCCCAGAAAATGAAACTGGTGATCTCCCATCGTTTGTCCTTGAGACTTTTTTGAAATTGAACTCGGGTAATAAAGCTGTCCTTCCCCCAGCTACAATAAATTGTCAACAAAGAGTATTTTATAAGTTACTAATATTCGTATCAGAATTTAATTAACGGACATAGAAGGATATAACTGAAAGGCCACGGAAATGGATCTGCCATTCAGTCGACGGAATGGTAATTGAAAGACCACTGAAAAGTCACGGGAAAGGATCTTTCCAATGACCTTTCAGTGGGCATTCAGTTACCATTCCGTCGACTGAATGGTGTAATTTCATCCTGTGAATTATTTAGACAATATCGTGAAGTTTCATTGATAAGTTACTAGTATTTTTATGTATAGTAATTCTCTATTCGTTCTTTTGTCGGTTGTTTTTGTCAACAAGTGTGAAAAATGTACCTTGTGGAACAATTGAATGATGTTTGAATTTCTTATTAAGATTAAAAGTATAGAAAAAAATATGCACGTTTCAAAATTGCAGGGACCGGTTGAAAAATGACCGACTCATGTTTGAAAAGCTGTAGGAAAAGTACGGAAAAGCGATATTAATGCTGGATTATCATTTATGAAAATCTGGAAAATCCTACCGCTGTTGTATTGGAATCTTGAAAAACATCGTATTTCTTTGAAAAGTGAACATTAAATTGGTACGTTGAACAGGTGATTTCTTGATAACCCCCCCCCCCCCCAAAAAAAAAAGGAAACGGGAAAAAAAAATCTAGATGAAAAGTTTCATCTTTCTTTTGAAATCTTACCTCTGTTAAAGAAAGTCCAACACGCTATGATGATATATATCCCAGGTCTCATTTTTGAACAACAGTAATAACGGACCGTGCTTCCATTTGTAAAACAAATGTGTTATTGTGTAAATCATACATGTAGGTACGCTATTTGTTTCGTGATGTTTATTAGAATATTTTTACTTTATTACAATGTAAGCACAGCCCCAGGCAAAGAAATGAAAGATGCATTTTTCTGAACTATACGCCACAGAAGTTACTAGAATATAGGTTAATTAATTAGACATATTTGGGCGTTGAAATCTCATTTTAAGGACATTAGGTACTACAAAAGAATATTTTATAGGAAAAAAATCATTGTTAGGTATTATGAAACTAAAACAATGTATTATAGATACTTGTAAAACCCTTTGAGCGGGCTTTGTTATTGTCAAAATGCGAATCACGGAGATTTCCAACACAACTATCTACGTACCACGTGTATATTGAAGTACTATGCAAAAAAAAGTCCCTTAAAGTTTTTTTCTGGATATCGATGTATAACACGTTTTTAGGATTGATTAAATTAGTTTTATGACCACTTAATAGGAAATTCAGTGTATTTGCAGGAAAAAAGTCCCACTTCATCTGAGGCTTTTGGTTTAAATACATGTATATATAATGTAATTTATTTACTAGGTGGAGGCAAATGCAAAATTTACAACATGGTAACCAGTCATAATGTAAATTTGCATTGGCCTCAAGCTAGTAAATTGAAAATTTACAAATTATATAAAAATGAAGATGTCTTCAAAGGGAAAAAATCGATGAAACATATGTGCTTTAACAATAATTAAGCCCTAAGGAATCTTTTTTCAACTTGCTATAAAGATGATTTTAAAAGTTCTTGTTCAGTTCATTTTGTTAGTTTTAATCAATAATTTGCTTTTTTATGAATGCATTTTTTCTACATTTTTTTCGCTGCGTCATAAAATATGGCATATGTCCATGTTCACTTGTTTTATACAACTTTTTACTCGTGGAGTTTTAAAATTATTTATACTTGAAGAGATGTTTTTAAAAGTACGGAAAATAATCGTTACACGTTTGCATGCATTTTTTAAAGGACGACATATAAACTGACAATAAATCGTATCAACGTAAATTATTCAACACTTACCTCCCTTAGATCTGTGACACTGTAACAGTGTCACAGATCTAAGGGAGGTAAGTACTGAACAAGATAGATATGGTATTTATAAGTATCTTACTAAGCAACAATCTTGTACATGTACATGTGTAGATTAGGCTCCGAGGCCTAATGAGCTCACTTTTAATCTTGGCCTCAGCTTTACAATAGGAATATATAGTAGAAAATTGAGACTGAGATCGAAATTGAGCTCATCTACGTTTTATCTACGTTTTATAACCCCGGAGCCTGAGTTATTTGTTCTAAGTGAAACCGAAAGGATATAAATCTGATCTTAAGGAGCTAAAATCTTTGTAATTCACTGACTGATACAATTTTAGGTTAATAAACCCTCTGTTTACTCATTTAAACAATAAAATGCTTTCTTTGTAAGTATGGAAATTAATTTTCAGCTGTTGCAGAACAAAATGCACAACCCGCCTAAACAGGTTATGTAATTTTTTTTCTGCAACAGCTGCAACATTAATTCCCATATTAACAAACAAAGGAAGACAATTCATTGTTTATATTTATATCTGTACAAATAATCATTCAAAGTAGGAATTATTAGATGAAATAGTATACTACTGATATGTACGTCATTGTACATTTCATTGATGGAAGAGCTACTGCTCAAGAAATCTATATGCAGGTGATATGCTTAGTGTTGTTAATGACTGATAAACAACAATGGTTTTCTTAAGAAATAAAGGAGAAAATATTCAGTGGATGTAAATACAAAAAAGTTATTGAAAATGTCGTTGAATTTTCCATGCAAAAGATATCTAAATTTTAATCTAAACATGAAAATGCAAATTGTTTTAGTATATCTTTAGTTCTTTACATGCTTAGGTGCGACATCTAACAGAATTCACTTTTAAACTTGACAATTACATGCACATGTATTTTTTTTGAGGGAGGGATTAGTACCCATGAGGATCCTTCAGATTGTTGGAAGACCTGGTCTCCAAAATCTGCATAGATACTGTCATTCAGAAACTCGAGCACTATTTTGTGTCAACTTTAGAGTACTTGTGTGTACAATCAGAATGGGTTTTTTTTTTAACAAAATGATGTTGCAATTGACCAGTGACAAGGTAAGTAATATTACGAGTTCCATTTTTATTGGAAAACAGCTATAAATGATGTCAAAAAGCTTGGACTTTAAATAATCGTGGGGAATGGTTGTATAAAGTGTAAAAAAAAATCGTCCGTTTTGATGTTATTGATTTTGTTAAAATCATTGGAATTTTAATTAAGGAGGCGCTACTGCAAAGGAATTCCATTGATACACGTTAAACTTTACAGCCGTTCGTTGCTCGAGTACGACTGAAACAATCATTTTTTGTAACAAGTCACCTACATACTGACGTCATTTTCACACTGTGACGTCACAAACATGGAGCAAAACATTGCATAACATCTGCTATTTATATAACATGTGTATGACTATATGTATGCCAAATTTCATTCTGATCTGAATTGTGGTTTTGTAAATAAAGTGATAGTTCGCGAACCTTTTGATCACCCCTTGTATATCTCAGTTGATTCGATATGCAAGAGCATGCTCTATAAACAAACAATTTCTAAAACGAGGTAAGTTATTGAAAAACAAGTTGATGAAAAAAGAATATTAACAGTCTCGTTTAAAGTCATTATTTCGTAAGTTCTATGGTCGATACAATGACCTAGTCAGCAAATACAATCTATTATTAAGTCATACGCTGACTGACGTTTTTCATACAAATTGTTAGGCCATTATTAGCACACTGAATTGTTTGGATTTTCCCGTTATTTAACGATCATGACAAGGAGCACCCTGGGGGTGTGACTGATCGACTGGGGATGCTCACTCCTCCATGGCACCTTATCCCAACTCTTATGTTTTTTGGAGGTCCGTGTTTGCTCTGCTTCCGATTTGTATTGTTTTAATGGACTTTGAGCCTGAATACTATTCGATATCTCCATATTTCATTTCATTTTCACTCTGGTGGTAAAATGGGGATAGAAAAAATATTATTTTTACAGAAACATGGTTCCAAGAACATCTTATACATTTTTCATGTAGCCAAATCATCTTTTAGAAGGCAATTGGTGAGGTCCTGTAGTTGTGCAATACGGTTTTAAAATTCTCATTTTCACCCTGGGACCCAAATGGAAATCGAAAAAGACGTTTTAATTTAAAAAATTTAGTTCAAAGAACTTTTCATACATCTTCCGTACATGATTGGTGTGTTTTTGAGATGTGCAATAATGTTTTGGAATTTTTATTTTCACCTCGGAGGTCAAATTGGGTCGGAAATCGAACGTTTTACCTTTTACTAAAACTCCTCTTACATATTTCACAGTAGCAAATCATCATCAGGGTGTTTTATAGATGTGCAATAAGGTTCTGGAATTTTCATTTTCATCAAATGAGCCAAATTGTGGTCGAAAATTAACGTTTTTCATTTCACAAAAACCTGGTTTCAACGATTATTTTTTATTCAATAGCCATTTCATCTATTGCAGGATGATTTTAGGTGCCCTGCATATATGAAGTAAGGTTTTGGTATTTTCATTTTCGCCCTTGTGACCAAATGGAGGTCTTAAAATGATGTTTTCAAATTCAATTTTTGGCTATATATTTCTTCATCTTTTTTTTTTTTTTTTTTTACAAAAAAGAAATTCCCTCTTTTAAAAAAAGTTTTTACCCCATTTATTTCAGACCATAATTAATTTATTATTTGAAATCCTTACATGAAATACATGGAGATAAAGAATAGTATTTAAGCTCAAAAGTCCATTTAAACAATACAAATCAGGAGCAGAGAAAACACGGGCTCTAAAACATCAGAGGTGGGATCATGTGCCATGGAGGAGTGAGCATCCCCTGCCGACCAGTCCACCCGCCGTGTGCTCCTTGTCATGATCGAAAAAAAAGGAAAAATCCGTAGAAAATTCAGTGTGTAAATTCAATTTAGAATAACTTTGTGCCCTCTTCGCTACTCATCGGTTCCTGAAGCCGAGTGATAGGGCGCTTGCTTCGTCTTCGGGAATTCAGAGTTCGATTAACCTCGTTCGTCGCGCCGCTAAAACCTGGGATGTAAATTTAGGTAGTGACTGTTTCTTCGACAAGTGCTCGGCACTGGATGTGAAAGTCACTGGTCTTTCGAATGTCAGAAAAGGCGTCGGCACGATAGAAACCCGAACTACTTGATGACGCTGAGTGCCGAGTATAGGTTTAAATTTAAAGCCCTTTTTCGGTATATGGTTACGACTCAATATGAATGAAAAATCTCGAAGGGATGTAAAATAGGATTCAATCACAAAATTAATATGTAATAGCTATAACGTTTATTTTTTTCTATGTTATAATATAGTAAATGTCATAAAACGCAACCTGCAAGAATACATGACGTTAACATACCTATCACTGTACTCGTTAGTGCAATAATTTATCTAAATATCTTGATTTATAGCACCTGCTTTAATCGTTTGATAAAACATTGTACCTTCTGTAAATTAAACATCTTTAGTTGATGAAAACGTGACTCGATTTTTTTGGTAAAAATCGATTTTATTTTCTGTATACCGTGAATACTGATGAAACACTATGCCGACATAACATAATAAAAAAAATTGACTGTCAATTGTTTCCCCACTGCCAGAGATAAAATATAAGTCTTTAATAAGTTAAGCAATTAAAATTTAACAAATTGAAAAAATAGTTTGTTAGCTATCGATGGTTTCTTTTGACTGATTGGTATACCGCCTAAAGTTTCCAACTCTAAAGGAGGTTTCGATGATAAAGGGAGAAAAATCTTTACTCGAATACAATTTGCCAATACTTACACATTTATACAGGTATAAGCTTGTATACATTCACTTGTAAATACTACACTGAACAATATGGAAGTGGTTGAGGTCGAAACAAGTGGATGGAAAAGGTTTTTTAAAGGGTCATATGGCTGTCTTAGGAAAACCTGGTTGAGCCATATGAGATTTTAAATTAAAGACTTAGGAGAGATAGGAGCACCTGGTTTTTGCATATTCTCGTATTAATCATCATATCATATTATTGCCCATTTTATACGCAACCTACAATTTTGTTGTAATTCAACTGAATTAAGACAAAATTGTAGGTTGTGTATTAAATGGGCAATAATATAATAACCATAATTACATTTGTCCGATATAAATAAAGTACTAAAAATAATTGCCATCTTGATTATGAATGCATTCTTGATCACAAAAATTTGTCGATATTTCCACTGCGCACCTTAACTGTACTGCGAAATTATATACTAGTTAGATTTAAGGGTTAAGAATAATATAATACGAGAATATACACAACCAGGCGCTACTATCTCTCCTAAACCTTTAATTTTCTTCCGACGAGATTTAAAAAAATAAAACGTCATTTCAATGCGCTCTCCCCCTCGTTCTTTTTTTTCTTGCTTCGTTTCTTGTCTTTGTTTTCATTAAAATATTGGCCGTTCACGGTAGCTCAGTCGGTAGAGCGCTCGCTTTATGATCGGGGGGTCGTGAGTTCGAATCTCGGCCGCGACTGACCTAAGTCGATAAAAATGGGTAGCAACTGCTCCTTCGCCATGCGCTCGGCAATTAGAAGTGAAAGTTGCGGGTCCTTCGGATGAGATCTTAAAATCCGAGGCCCCGTGTCACGGCGTGCGTTAACACGATAAAGATCCCGCACTGCTCAATGACCCTAAGTGCCGAGAAAAGGTCAAAATTTGAAGCCCTTCACCGGTATGTGGTGACGTCTCTATATGAGTGAAAAATTCTCGAATGGGACGTAAAACAACATACAATGAATCAATCAATCTTTGAAATATTTTATATCAATTAAAATATCTTGAGTACTTCAAAAGACATATGGAAAGCTCTTTGTAAACAAAAGAATTAGTCGAAGTTTTAAAAACATTTATTTTAAAAATATAAATTTAAGTGTCATTAATCAGTGCAATGATAAAAGTATTATACACACCAACAATTTTTTATAATAAGACATCCAGAAAGGAGCTTCCTGGTTCTGGATTGAAATAGTAAATTAACAAGTATATTTAAATATTTCATTTACAACGGCAATGCATAGAATATGAAATTGAGATTTTTTTTTAAAATCCTCTACACATGTCAAAATGACTTTGGATATTTTATTTATATTTTGAACTAGATAGAAAGGAATTTAAAATAACATGCAAAGTGATTAAGGGTGTCAGTAGGGAATATTTTTCCGTAGACACTTCAATGTGAAAATAATGGCCAAACAATTTGTATGACAAACTTCAGTCAGCATTTGAGTGTGTGACGCTGAAGGAAAATTCATCTTTTCCCTATTATCGGTAATTGTTTCCCGAGAACGTAATTTTAATTACTATGAGGGAATCTCTAAAGAAAAGACATAATTTGCATGTGTAAATATCAAAATATAAATTTATTTCATTTAAAGTTGGAAATCATCTTTTCCCCCTTTTATTCAAGAAAAACGGAGTACAATATAAACAAATAATGTTACAAAATCAAGGAAGACATTTCTTAAGTGTATTGTTATGAAACAGAAAAAAGAATCGTATTTTGTAACTTCACTAATGATTATTTTAAGCTATTAACATGATCAAGTGTAAAAAATCAAGTAGCCAAGAGGAGGAATACTTTATTTGTATTGAAGAATTTCGTTTATTTATCAGGGACATTATCTCGTGACAAAAAAAAAAAAAAAAAAAAACTAAAAAAAAAAAAAAAAACTCAATCACAACTGTAATGTATCAGCTGGGGTATACAAAGAATAAAGACTCTGACGAAGACAAAGATTTCGACGAAATAAGAATAACACTGTGACTTGAGACATGGCATTGGATTATATAAATATTTTGCTTTGTACAAAATTAAAAGTGGTTATTTGATGAACTGGTGGTTAAATTTAAAGAAACTATAGATTATAGTCACAAATGGAGAAATCTGTGAATTGTACACACAAACATGTACGAGGGTTGTCCGGTAAAATCGTGGACAAGTTGTCAAGTGTAAAAAATAATCATCACTGCGTTCTAAACTTTTCACTACTTTTTAGTACATTTTTCATCAATATACATAGCAAATTTCAAATAGATATATGCTCAAATTAACAAAATATGAGGGTGGTATCGCCTTACAGCGCACTGATGATAACGTCAAAGTGTCTAAAGCTGCGTCAAGTTTTCTCTTTGCCAAAAAAGTTGGATAAGCCTCACTTTAATTCGGGGATTTCATTGATGTACATACTTGATTTTCCCTTTTTTCCTCCATAAACAGTCGAGGAACTAATCTCGCACTCACATGCGACCTTCTGAAGATTTATCGGTAAGTTATGGACAGTACTCCCACTTTCAGTCAACTAAACAGACTATCTTATATCTACGGTCTACAGCGTCTTAAGCTATAGCCAGAAGCAGTTTCTCCGTATGTTTTGTTCTACCTGGGAACCCGATCAAAAAGCTTCCGCTTAGAAAACTCCCATTTCACTTGCATACTTAAGATCTAGTGATATATATATATATAGATTTTTTCTTCTGTTGTCATTTAAAATTTCTTAGGGCGTCATTACTACATCTAAATCAAACCGAACTGCTCTCCGGTGCGCCGAAACGTCACCAAACTTCGCCATCTTCCGTGTGTTGCGTTTACCTTCTCCTTTTCATATGCTTGGGAAACTGCCAAAAATTAAGCAAATGCCTGGAAATTTTACAAAAGACGACATAATAAATAGTGGATTAAAAATAGGATTATTTTTACCTCAACCTTGAATATTTAATACTTTTATTACGAAATAATATTCGTGTATTCGCTAATGAAACCATGGTTTTTTGATCATGCGTTGTAGGACCGTACCCTGTGCACATTCATGCATAATAAAATCTTTAGTTTTGTCTTTATTTTATCAAAAAATTAAGATGCACTTAAATATGATAAATAAACATTTGCTAAAAATTTCAGCTTAGTGCGCCCATTATTTTTCGACAAAAACGCTTTGTAAACGATTTTACCGGACAACCCTCGTACTAACTACATTACAAACGAACAGATACAGAAAATAGATCAAATTTTTCAACATTTAGACAAAAAAGTGTTCATTTCATGTTCAAATGCATGTAATTAATTCCTGGATAAGAAACACAATCATATAATAGGATTATTGAACTTATATTGGTGAATATTAGCACGAGTTGACTGTACAAATGCTCGAGCTTGCGAGTGCATTTGTACACCTAACTTTTGCCAATATTCACAAATGTAAGTTCTTCAATTTCTTTGCTATATAGCTAAAACAATTTTTCATTCATTAATATTAATTCTTTGAATGAAAAACTCAAATTTTAGAAAATTATTCAATATGAATATCTACATTTAAAAGTGTGAAACATCAGTATATGTCCAGGAATGTTCAATACTACAGCAATCCAATCGACATACTTATGCATACATCGGCGCGTTTGATACGAATGCTCGTATTCGAAATGTTTTCGGGGCATATTCGTATATGTAGTGGACACTCAGCTTTGTATAAAAAGCCACAATATTGAACCCTAAATTCTGTAAATTTAGTAGATTTTTATAGACTATTTATTAGCTATATTGGATTACTTTGCTGCAATCAATCTCAAAGGAAGTCAGGAGTGGGTGAAAGAATTTTTTCTTCATATAAGTCACTCATATACAGCACAAAGAAACATGCAAAAAAAAACCATTTGCTTCAGTTCCTTTCATAAACAGCATTTAGGCATACATTTCCTATTTTCATTCTTCATCAATTTAACATTTAACGATCAAAGAAAATATTTAAGAACTGTATCTGGAAGTGTCTTCAATGGCACTTGAAAAATTCTTCGTTTCAGTTTCACATACATCTCGATCAGCAGAAGCTTTAAGTGTTTACATTATCAAGTTTTGCAAACTATTTATTGGTTGTTACTTTAGAATGAAAGCATTTCAGTGTCGTTGACTCGCCCTTTTAATTAATTTGCAAGCAATTCACTTATCTTTCACTTGTGTGCATTTGTTTTGGACTCCTTTGACAATGTTGATACAATCCGAGAGAATTACAATTCCAAACACGACACTGATCACTGTGACACCAACGATTCCTATGTTTTTTGCCGATTGTCTGTCATCTGGGGCACTGGTCAATGTGCGAATGTACTGATTGGTTTCCTTCGGGTTAACTGTAAGATTCTTTTGAATGTTACCAATTTTCTCTTGAATAACTTCTTCAGTCAATTCTGTAGATATACAATAAAGAAAAAATTCTTATAGTTCATAGTTAAAAATGACCCATACGTCACAACACTAGCTAGAGTCTCTATTATAAAAGTGAATGAATTCAGGATGGAAGCCATTTCGTGGTTCTCTCCCAACAGCACTTATACACTGTTATTTTACATTTTTCGTGATGCCTGCAAACATATGCGAGTCTGACAAATCATAATTATTTATTCTAAAAGTTTTTTTTTCTTTGAGACCAATATGCCATGACAAGTAGCACGTGGTGGTGTTACCGGTCAGCAGGGGATGCTCACTCCCCTATGGCACCTGATCCTACCTCCGATGTTTTTGGGGGTCCGTGTTTGCTCTGCTCCCGGTTGGTATATTTTTAATGGACTCTGGGCTTGAATACTGTTCATTATCTCCATAATTCATCGTACATTTTAAGTTTAAATCTTTGTACCTTCATTTTAAAAATTAATGATAGTTTATTTAACATTACAGCTTGAAAGAGATTAAATTAAGAATAGTTTCAATATCATTTAAAACGAAGATCACCATTTGAGAACAGACAAAGATAGAAATTCCCTTTGATTCCAGACTTAAGGGAAATGAAAAATATTTATATGATATAGAACTGGCTAACATCTTAAATTGACATTGAAATAAAACATTGCTAGGGGTGAACATACATAGTAGGAAAAAGCTTTTATTTTTTCCTAGTGTAGAATGAAATTTTCCGATATTAACATGGAATATGGATGTTATTTTAAGCTGCATGTTTTCAAGTTGTTTTATTGTATTATTGTATACATTGTTTTTAAGAACTATTCATTCAAACATTACATTAAAAAGCATAGTTTTTTATATTTTGTATCAACAGCGTTAGAGGAACAGACAATGGTACAAGAATATTCTTATTCAAGGGTGTTTGGGGATTATTTTAACATGTTTAACTCTTGTAACATGAGATATATATACTTACCTGGACACCATTCGGAGAGGGGTTTTGTGGATGATACTGTATAACTGTCAGCACTATGTACAAAGAAACCTGCAATTATTGATAAAAATATTACTGTGGTAAATAATTCTGCTTTGCTGTTTTGAGAAAAAAAACATGGTGAGAAAAAAGCTTAATTAAATGAATGTAGGATGAATCTAGGATTTAAGACATATAATTGAAATTTTGAGGGGATGCTTGAGGATATTTGATTTTTAAAGATAGGAATACTGATTCCATGGCTTCATTAAAACCATTAGAAACGAGATGCATTGCAGAAAGCTCATAAATTTACTCCTCATCAAAATACTGCTGCGAAGGAGGAACTGCAGACATATTGAACTATACCCTACTCAAAAATCTGTGTAAATCAATTGGTATTCTCAAAAACTCCAAAAAAAACGTTTAGAAAAATCTACAGTCGTAATATTTCTCCATATCAAGAGCATCAAAAGATGACTTTTTGTACTTCATACAACCATTCCTCGATAAATTCAAGACTAGGCTTTTGACATCATACAAACTGCTTCTTCAATGAAAATGGAACTCGGAAATTTCCATTTGTTGTGATAAGTCATTTATAAAGGTACTGTAGAAAATTCTACATATAAGTACTTAAATATTAAAAAAAACATTCCTCATTTACAATAACAAGGTACTCTTTGGAGACCATGTCTTCCGACAAGCTGTTGGAATTTCTTAGAGCAAAAGTTGCGATCCCTTATAGTTTTTCTTTATTTATTTATTTTTTTTTTTTTTTTTTTGACCCAGCATTTATTGACAAATTCCTATACGAGAAAAGAAATATCATGTGTGCTTCTAAATTCGACATTTAGATACAGGTATATCGAGGATATCAATTACCAACATTCTTTCCATTCATATATCGATTTATCCCAGGGAAATCAAAATGAAAGTCACCACAGAATTTGCTACAGCTATTACATACTTATGTATTTTTACTAAATATAGACATAACACAAACTAACGACTAATTAAACGGGATATATAAAGTTTCCCATTGCTAACTTCCTATATTTATGTTCCAATATTACATTATCATATGCTATTGATTTCTATATCTCCCAACCAATTCGTTGCGCAGAAGCATGTTCTGTGTACGATCAATCTTAAAACAATATAGACTACTGCCAAGTACCTTGATGCTACAGGGGTTTCAACAGTTTCGTTTAAATTCAGTATTTCTCATATTTGCATATTATTGTTGGGCCAATTTTTACTAAAATGCTTCAATTTTTAAAGCACTGTTTTCAAACTAGTTGTGACTGAGGTGTACTCAGTTAACGTTATCAACACTGGGGGATCACGGCTGGTGAGATCCGTCGACGGAGGGTGGTTACTCCTCCTAGGCTCCTGGTCCATATTTCAGGGAGTCCATATTTTTGCCCTGTTCTCGGTTTGCTTATTTAATTGATCGCCATTCGTTTTCTTTAACTTTTTTTTCCTTTTAAGAAACTAGAACAATGTGTCCCTTATTTAAATAGAGGTGCTAATGGCAGTTAATAATTCTTTTATAGTGACACCAAAATGTCTAACGTGAAAAGCGTTTTCCTAAAGATGAAAATTCTTGACTGGATAAATTCTTCTGTCGAGAAAACAAGTAGTTCGACTCAGTGGTGAAGACCTTTGACACATAATGTCAAGATACATCAGTGATGATGTCAACAGCATGCACAATTTCACAATCTTGGATTTAGCGGCTTTTTTGAAGAATTTTAGACTAAGCATTTGAATGCAAAATAATTTGGACTCAACCCCCCCCCCCCCAAAAAAAAAGACAGGGTTCTACATGGATGAATGAATTCTGGTCGGTGGTATGTCCAGTTGAAAAATTCTAGGTAATTTTTAAAGAAAAGAATTAAACTGAAATTTATTGTAGACTGAGATGGAATAAATTTCATTCTCTGAAAAATGTGGCTGGTTACTTAACCGGAAAATTTCATTATTCATTTTATTGAAGACACTGAGGTTTTCCATCCCCCAGGATTAGAAAAACAGCAGTTAAAGCTATGGTACATTGTTTTGAATCTCATTCTTTTACTTATCACCTGTATGACTTAAGAGTTTCAATAATTTATGGACCTTTAGTGCAAATTTTATAATACATGTACATGTACTTAATCATGCTATGCACCATTTAGCATGAAATGGTGAGGGGAAAAAAACAGCTAAAACTATAGTTCTGTTAATTTTTTTTTGAATAACACGAGGAATTTTATCACTCAATATCTATTCAAAATCTATGGTAATGAATGCTGATTTTTTTGTATAAGAACATCTAATGGTACCATAATATTGAATCAAGAATATCTCAAAAAATTATCAGTGGGTAAGTTATGCTGCAAGGCACTTGTACGTGTACGTTGTGTACGACTTTAACCGAAAATACTCACAGAAATTTAGTTAAATTCGCAGCCTATGTGTTTTTAACCATGCAATTCTTTTTCAGTGTTCTTTATTCCAATTTATTATATTATACAGGGGAAATTACATTATCCAAATGTTATGAGGAACTGTGAGCAGATATATCAATTTTGCTTTTAAGAGTTGAAAGTTAATCAAAAATTATCTTTCTTGACACAAAACAAGAGTTATCGCTGCATCTATAGAGAAGGATGTTTTGATAATTATGTTCAATTTAAGTTCTAATATTTATTACATTTTATAAATCATACGTTGTGTAAATAGCATTTGATATAAGTGCAAGATAACACAGAACACTTCCAATTTTATTTCAGTAAAATACCTGGTAGGCATTAGTAAATAAAAAGAGTTTTAAGAAATTGAAGTTCTTTATACTACCCTGGGTCATAGAGAGAACCATGAAATGAGATTTGTTGCACGTAACGATTTGGATTTCAAGCTTTATTTTGAGATATTTAAATAAATAATCATTTCAAGAGAAAATATTCATGGCTGCAGAGGGACATCCTTAAAATAAATAGCTTTTGTTCCTTTGCCGATAACTCGCTATTGTAAGTGAACAGATTGTAAACTGAGGCGAGAGACATTTCAGAATCTGACATGAAAAAATATTACCTTGGTTACATTTCATAAATTCATGGGGATGGGTGTCAAAGTCGCACATGTATTCCTGTCTTGTATGAATGAAAAAGCCTCATGCAGAATATTTAACACAATAGAGTATTATTAATCAAACATTTTAATAGATAGAACACCAAAGCATTTACTTTTATGTTTGAGTGTTGTAGGGGGACGTCGACCCATCGAACAAGATGCATCGTCCATTAAACGGTAGACTATGCAGGTATTCGAAATATATGTAAACGTGTAGCATGCTTTATTCTCCCTACATATTGATTCACAAAGTTCGGAAGTTGCACTATTATGTATTCCATTATTGCAGAAATTAAATGGACTTCCATCTTTCAGCGTTGATTTTGCAGATTCCGTCATACATGCCTCAATTTCTACAATACAAAATGCGGATAAACTAAATCAAAAAAGAAAAGTCTAAAACAGCTATATTTTGATTCAATACCTCTTTCACCGAGTGACATAGAAGATGGATAAAAAGGAGAATAATTAAAAATTTGTTACAATATAAGGAATGAGGGAATAGCTGTCTTCTCATTTGTCATTTGCGTTTTGCGTCTGCGTTGTCATTTGCATTTGTCATTAATGCTCGTTTAACTGTCTTAAACATCGGTGTATTATCCAATTAAAAAGTCAAATATAAAACAGTTGTATTAGGTTTACTCTTTTACCTTGAAAGAGTTTAACTTTTAGTGGTAGTGTATAAAAGGATTTCTTAAGCATACCTTCATCATTGCTTTCGCAGATGAACATCTTTTCTTCAGAACAATCATCAGTGATAAAGGTCTGCTCTGTTTTATTGTAGTAAAGACAGAACATGTCATTCGGACCTGAATCTCTTATCTTTACGGGAAGTTGAGGATCAAAAGATTTACAATTTTCTAACATGCTTTCATTGTTTGAGGACCTGAGGAATGCTTTAATCCACACTCCAGTTGAGTGGCTGAAATTAAAACATGTACATTAATATTTTGTTAAGCAACATTAAAATGTTTTAAACTGTAGCATGTGGGATTTGAAGATAACGAACTCAGAAGTCCATTTAAACACTACATGTTGCTAGGAAAGCCAACATGGACCTCAGGAACCATAGGTGGGATCAGGCGTCTTGGAGGAGTGAGTATTCTCTGTCGACCAGCCACACATGCCGTGTGCTCCTTGTCAAGATTAGGTAAACGGAAAATCCGTACATAATTCAATGTGAAAATAATTGCCTGACATAATGATTTATTCTTTAAATAAAGCATATTGAGTTAAAAAATTCTTCATTTACACAAGATTTTTAACAGATAAACATACCTGTAACTTAATGAATTTACAAACAATGAATCAACCTCTTGTAGGACCAAGTCCATCAGATACATCTCAGTTAACGATGTTATTGTAACTAACGTTCTGTTATTTTTGGCGCATGCGTCATATGCTGTGTGCCAGGATGCAACCGGAAGTTGTACTCTGTATCTACATTTCGGATCTTTGACTAAAAAAAATCACAACATCAACTTTAGCTAATGTTAAGATCCCGTCTCATGTTCCGGAAAGAAAATATTTTATTTCATAGAATACATAAAATTCTTTCATGAAACAAAATGACTATGATATTATAAGTTAAACATTTGTAACTCAAAACGAAAGGAAGAAAACTCCAGCTGAATATACGGTCGATAAATTACATGAAGAATGAAGTATTCCCTCGTGTATAAAGAAATTATCTACTTTAAATTCATTATGGAATACAATTTGTCGAGAAATAGAACTTATAAGAATTGAATATTAAATCACATTTTTGAAGCATTCAATACAAATCAGGGTTGACATTATATTTACATTTAAGTTATATATACTATATATATATACTTTTTGTTGTTGTTGTTGTTTTGGTTGTTCTTTTTGTTTTTAGATAGACTTATTTTATAATCCAAGGTAAACATAGTTATATTTCAACTAATGACGCTCATTTCTTTTTCATATCTTTAGTTTTCATGGTAACAAGAAGACAGTAAACACAAAAATAATTACTAGATAAGATCTCGTTGCGTGTGGTTCTTCCTTCCAATTTTGATAAAATTAGATATGAATTTGACTGAGATATTTGTTTATGAATAATAATGTCCGGTGTTTTCTGAACAATTTTTGGTCCTTTTTTTGGTTCATGACAAATATGCTTTTCAAAATATTACGAGTTTACGAGAACTAAAGGATAAAAAATATTAGTTTAGACTTAATTTGTGGCCCATGAAGACACGTAATAAGGTAACATTAATTCAAACTATCAATAGTTGCATAAAAGATCTTTCAAATAAACATTTCTTCCTCACTGTTTATTTTACAAAAGAACTAGAGTCTTAGATTCTGTCGACCCCTCTGGGCCCTTATTGTGAAGGATCATCCCCTCTTTCTTGAAAGCAAATGAAATGTATCAAGATTTTAAACATTTTCTGTTCAACAACTATTCAGATATTTGTTTTTGTTTTCGAGATATACAGAATATAAATATTTAGGGGCCAGTCCTTAATCTGGCCTTTTTCAAAAAAATAAAAGGCTTTATTGCTAAGAACATGATTTTGTACATCTTTTGTTCAATATTGCTTCTCAAAATAATTCTCCTTTTCCATATATAATTGTCCAAGATTTAGCATTATTGCCCCTTATGGCCTCTAACCTCTAATTACGTACCACATGATAAAAATTCTATACTGCATCATTGCAAATCCTTGCGATAAACATTTTTGCTACAGGGATTTAAAGAGTTACAGTGCAGGAATGTAATTTTAAAATCTTTTGCTTGCTGATTTTAATGCCTCCTTTGCTTGCTGGTTAAATGTTATTTATCATTATGCTGATGCTACCTTTTTGCTGCTTTATAATTACGTCAACGCCACTGAAAGTAGTATCATCATATCGGAAGTAGAGAACTGAATTACAGCATTGCAATTTAAATAAATAAAAATGCTTTTATATAACTATTTTGTCATGATATTTCATTAAATGTCAATATTTTGAATAAATATAAGTTTTCTTTCTCTGTTTTCATTTCAAAAAAGACATTGATTTTTCTGATGCTAGTAGGCTAATACTGATTTTAAGTAGACCAATGCTAGTTATGCTAGTTCTATCCTTTGCTTGTTGACGCTGATCCTTGATGTTTTTTAAATACTGATCCTGATGCTAGCTGGATGCTCATGCTTATTTTCTTACGCTGATGCTGATTTATTTAACAAAGTTGATTCCCTGTACTGTATAGTTTTATGTCTTTTGGCCCTTCGTTTTCAAGATATGTAGAAGAGAAATATTTAGGTTCATGACCTTTAAGTCCTTAATGGGATCGTTTTGCAAAACTTAAGAGGCCGCATATTGATAAAAACATTATTTAATTTAAACATCATTTGTTCAATGTCGTTAATCAAAATATTTCCCTTTTCGAGATGTAAAATGTCAAAGATTAGCTTTCTGGCCCCTTATGGTCTCTAATTAAGTAACATAGGATAGAAATTATAATATAGAGTTGCAGATTGTAAAGATAAACATTTTTGATTCTTAATTCCTTACAAAAAATTGAGCGCTAAAGAGTTTTAGATATTTTGGGCCCACTGAATCCCTTATTTGAGGGTTCAGTCTCTTTTTCTAGATATCGCATGAAAGATTTAATTTGTGATTTTGCACAATATTTGTTCAATATGTTTTAACAAAATACTCGTAATTGAAAAGTTCTAATAAGAAATATTTTCAAAATTCACTCATATCCCGTGTCATGAATTTCAACCCCTATCAGGCTTCCATATTTGATACTTCCGGAAAATTTGAAAACCTAGAAGTACAACAACAACATGTCTTCTATCATTGCTGAAAATTCAGTTCTCAATCTTTATCAGTTTTGTGCAGACAAAAAGGTCATCTGAAAAGCAATAAAAGGGAGATAATTTACGACTGGAAGTGAATTTTCAAAAATTAAAATATCAGTACAAACTGCAGATAATAATGTAATGCCCCTGAAAATTTGAAGCAAATCAATAAAACCATCTCGAGAAATTTCCTGCAAAAAAATTTGTAAATAAATCCAAAAAAAAATGACTAGTTGAGATCTCGTTAATGGCAACGAGTAGGTCTTCCGTCCAATTTTTGATTAAATACGATATTGAAATGTTCATTAATTGTGTGTGTGTGTGTGTGTGTGTGTATATATATATATATATATATATATATATATATATATAATAAAGAAACAATAGAATAATTGAAGGGTCTTCCGTTAGAGACAGTAGACCATCCACATTTTTTTAACCTTGCTTTAATGATATACTAGCTGAACGTATCTGAGCATAATTAATCGATATGGCCTACAAATATTTCAAAATTCAAAAACATTAGTTTTTGCTTTTTATTTATTAATTTTATTTATATATTTATATGTATATGTAGATATGCACTTCTAGCTCCGCGTGCCTGAAATCTACTTCTTTATAATAGGGAAGTCTCCGAGAAATTGAAACTGAATTTTTGATGAGCAGAAGATAGCAACATGACAGTATTGGTATTCCTCTGGCTTAGTGCACACTTAAGGATAGTTTATCGAGTAATAGGTTTTATGGGAAGGGGTAGTTTGAGATAATAATAAAGTCAATATTGCTTCAGCAATCGGATCAAGACATTCTACATAGTGTACAGAAATGTTATTATAATAACAAATATAATAACAAATTTAACAAATCGATGAACCTACAGGTGGTCTTTCAAAGGAATTTAGACGACGGTCAAAGTACACGAAGGTTTAAGCTTAACCCGTTTAAAAACAATAAGCTGATAATGTTCAAAAATCAGTGTGATCAATGTATGAAGTTAGACTAGCAATTATACCATATTAAATTTTGAATTAAATGTCCCTTATAAAAATCTTTGAAGCAGAATAATACATCATATTTATTAATGTATTGTGATACCCGTTTGATGTAATTTATTATTCTTTGATGCATGAACTAGATTGACCATAAAGACTTCTCCGTCTTCATTATGTAAATGGATTGTTATCGGCTGCAGGAGTGGCCGATCTATTTGTGGTTGTGTTAGAATGTGCACATGGAGAAATGAGTCGTTGTTTTTTTCATTGTTCGATGGAATATTTCTCAATAATAACTTTCATAAAAATCATTAATAAAAGTTTCTAAAATTTGCTAAAAATTAATAATTCTATATGGTTGTATTTATGTTTCAATTGGTTTTTCATTTCTCATCAGATATTTATTAATTTATAGTTTTATAGAGAGTTGTTACATGAACTGCTCCCCAACATGAGAGTGTTTAAGATATAAACAAAGAACATACTTTTTTCCGGATATCAGTTGACGGTGGCAAATTGATTAATAAATATTGGAAAAAAGTAGGAAAGTGCACGACAGTTGCAAATGACACAATATATTTTTACACTTCGCATTTATTGTTATAAATGCCTATTTCAACGAACATTATCACGTGACAAAGATTCAGGGATTGAATCAACACGTGAAATTTTAGCACGTCTTTTTTGTCAGAAATCATTGAGACACTCATCTAGGAATAGATAATTTGATGATGATATAATCCTATTCTTAATCGCTGATTTCAATGTCTATGAATTAATTTATTTTTGATTGATAGAACTTTTACAATTCATTGAAAATTAAAGTATTTAAAAATGCACAGCTCTCCACCGGCAAGTGGTGGCGTCTCCATATGAGTGAAAAATTCTCGAGAGGGACGTTAAACAACATACAAACAAACAAAAAGAATCATATGGAAATAAACATGTTTGTGGCCGAATTGATGCTTTGCATCATTTTCACTTGTTTTAATTATGTAGTGGTTTTCCATTACAACAAAATTATACAGAATATTAATGACGAAAATTGTCCATTTCTTTATCTGTTTGTAAATAGGAACAAAACTTCAGTATAAATTTTGTATTTGCATTTCTATCGATATTCCAGTGTTACTGATATTCTAATATTGCCTGGCAAAACTGTGTCATGTTTTCAAGGTGAAAAATTGAAAAGGATAAATGATTGTTTTATTTTTTTCAACACTATTACTGACATTTCTTACAGATTTTCTAGTAGGTAAACAACTGTGAATTTTATAATTTATAGACTTATAGCTGTTTATAAATGTATATAGACTTAAAGAAGGTTAAAATATATATAAACTTTTAGAAGTTTACACCAAATCGCCTTATAGACGTATATATTATACAGACTTAAAGAAGTATTTGTGACAAGTAGGTGTTTATAATACATAGTTCTATAGACGTTTTAATTATAATGAATAGACGGTTTTTTCATTATTAGTATGTTTGTAAATGTTTATTTATTTTAAAACAATGACTGTGGTAGTCTAATCTTAAGGATCGTGTTTCTTGGTAAAATAGAGGTCTAATCAATTTCACGTCTATGTATCAAAGATTTGATATCTTTAATTAATAATCGATAATCCACTTAAGACTTTATTCTTATTATTAATCTTTTATGATATTTGTTGACATTTAATTTAGTTCTGCAAACATTGGAAATCAATTAAAAGGCATTACTGTCTGTGAATAAAAAGCAACCTTCTTCCACTACACACGTCTTACATGGTAAACTCGGCATTTTTTATTTACGTTTTACTTTAGTCAGATGTTGATTGTATGGTTTTCAAAGAAATCCTACATGTGGTTGACTCAATACAATACGGATATATTTGAGGTTTTCTTATCACATTCATTACTGTTTAAAGTAATATGATTTTTTTTTTGTAGAGAATGGTTTGTAAAAAAAATCATCAGAATAATCACCATTTTCTTAAGCATTGTTTTGCCGCCTTCCTCAAGGTCAGCGTTCAAAAAGATATGCTATTTCACGAATGTTTTAGATACTTTTATTAATTTATTTTAAATTATTTATCAAAAGAGAGGGTGATAAACAAATTTTTGGTAAAACTCAAAGAATTTCACTGTAGATATCAATGGACCAAAAAAAAAAAAAACAAACAAACAAAAAAAACCCCAACATTTTTATACCCCTCCTCCATGAAACAACAATTTTTTTCCAGGTTTTATAAATTGTTATTTAGTAAATTCATGTAAAAGTTTTTGCTGTTTCAGGGGGAGGGGACATATGTTTACAGACCAAAATACACCAAAAATGGTATATTGTGAGTTTCAAATGATATACATCAACAAACTTTCACTAAATGAATCAGCAATTAATTTTACAAAATTTATCCAAACTGAAATAAAAACTTATATATCCACATCTATGAGTATTTCAACATCTGTGACTTTACTGATTTGAAAACGTTTTAAGAAGTCTTTTTGATACAAATGACGCATAATTTAATATCACAAACTATGAAGATTTCGGGGAGCGGAAATGGGGGAGGGGGGTACACCCACTCGGGGAGGTAGTTGACATCCAGTATTTACATGATTACTTTAATAAATTTCTTCGTAAAAGATAGGGATTTATTTTAAACTATCTCTTAAGTTTTGACAACCCTGCATTTATACGCATTTGATTGTTGTATTTTGAGTATGAGGATGTATTGTAAATCCACTACACGGTATACATTTTGTGTCATTCACTGAAAAGAAACCTAAAAATGTTTATTTTGAAAAAAAGCCATTTTTCCCAACATATATTTTTTTTTGGAAAAAAGTAATTTTACCACAAAGGCACAGTTATCTTCTATAATAGCTTTGCATGGTTAATATCTATAATTAAAAAAAACCCAATTTATTAACTTATCTTAAACCAAGTAGGCTTAATTTTCAAAAAACTTATCGTGCTCGAAAACTCCATATCTTATTTACTCCACGTTTACACGCGTGGATTAAGAGGGGGTTCAGGGAGGGTCCAGTCCTCTTCGCGGCAATTTGCAGAGTTATTTATATACGTACAAATCTAAGGTAATGTAAGTGTGAAATGAAATGACCTTGGACCACTGTTTAATTTTTAGTTCGTACATTGGTAGGAAGACCAGGCATATTCATGAAGTTTAGGAATTGAAGCCCCCCCCCCCCCGCAATAAGATTTTCGGGTTTGGGAAAGAAAATTACGATATTTAGCTTGTCAACAAGTTTCTCAGATGGAATTTCTGTTTACTGATGACTGTGCCCCTCCCCCCTCTCCTTCGAAAAAAATCACGGACCCGCACCTGCGTCCAGAAAAAGTTGTTAACGTTCAAAAGACGAAAATGATTCCAGTTGCTTGAAAGTCAATTTTTCCTGATATTGAATACAAATTAGAGAGGATTTTACTTAAGGGACTAGGGGTCAACAAAGTCACTCGGTAGATTCTGAGAATCAGCTGTCAGAGAAACTTGACTCGGAAGTGACTGTAATTTTACAATTATTACTCCCATGTATGACAATATATTCATGTTGAAACAATGAATGATAAATTTCTGAAAATTTCAAAATGAATATCCATGGTACTTGCCTTTCTTTATCGGGAAAAATAAAAAGAATCTACATTTTAAAAAAGAAATACTACTATTTTTAGGAACAAACGGAATGGTGTACAGGGTTATGTCATAGAAGAAATTTTAAAAAAGTCTTTATTTTTTCCTGATGATACATATTTGTATTATTCTATCGATTCTCAATCATACGCCCAGTTACATATATTTACAAGTACGTACAATTGTAACGGAATCTCTCTTGCTCTCTCTCTACCTGTATCAAAATCGAGGAATGAGCCGGGGGGGATGCAAATATTCCAAAATAAATATTTTAAATATATTATTTCGTTCCTTAGACCTTTAATTTTGGAGTTTAATCATACATGGTATGTTGTAAATAGTTAATATTTTATAATAAGTAGATTTAAAATGCATGTTTTCTATAAGGTCCCTAAAAGTTCATGTAATTTTTCATTTAAGCTAATGTACATGTGACCGTATTGTGTACAATGTATATAGAACAACACTGTATGTTGAATTGTAGACAATGCGTACGTTTATGTTTTTTGCGCATGTGCAATGCAGCGTTGTCAAGGACTTAGTCCTGAGACTAAGCGTATTGTTTACGACTAGTCTTACGCTACTTCGTGAAACGCAAATTACGCCCGACTAAATTTTGGCGTAAGCCCCGGAAGTACACCCATGTTAGGTCTTAAATTTACGACTTTTGATGAAACGGGCCCCTGGTTATTCCCTTATTGCAACGCCTCGTCAAACGTAAGACGTAAACATAAGTAGTGTCTGTTTCTCCGCCAAGAGCCCGGCATAAGAAGTGAAAGACACGGGTCTTTCGAATGAGACCTTAAAAATCTAAGCCCATTGACACGGTAGGCGTTGGCGAGATAAAAAAAATAAATGGCCCAGAGTGCAGAGTATAGGTCTAAATTTTAAGCCTTTCAACAGTGTATGGTGACGCTTATTTCTGAACGAAAAAAATTCGAATTGGACGTAAAACAATAACATAAAGTCAATCTTTCTCATATAATTTTAGTCCTCGAATTTGAGCATTTTCATATAAAACAAAAGTTGTTCTGAAATAACACTATAAAGAGTAGCATGGAGTAAAAATAATCTATAACTTTTGTCCCAGACTCACCTTGTAAACTGAATAATGGGATTGGTCCGAACATAAGAATTGAAAGCCAAACAAAAAATAGACTCCTCATCTGAAAAAAATAGTAATATGGATATGATTTAATATGTTTAAAACAGGAAGATTTTAAGCATTGTTGATTATTTAATAAAACTTCATCTCCATGTTTCATTTTGAAACATTTATTTGAACTTACAGAAGGCTCACTGTGGGTTTGACCAGTACATATAGGGGATGCTTACTCCTCCTAGGCACCTGATCCCACCTTTGGTGTTTCCAGGAATATCTTTTTGCCCTATTCATGATTCCTTTTGTTTAAAGTACTTATGAGTTTTTTTTTTTGTTTTTTTTTTTTAATTTTTGGTTTTAAAGTTATCTTCACCTTTTTCATTCCTCAAAAATGAGAGAGTCTTCAAATTGTACCTGATTTGAATGATTAGTGCTATGGGTGTTTTATAATTCTAAAATGATTCATGATTAGTTCTTTATCTCTTGAGAACAAATCATTCTTAACAGTATGAGTTTAGGACAGTCTTATAAAACAGTAGATTGCAAAAGTAGGATTACATTTATCTATTCCCTACTCATAGCTATATAAACGGTTTGTTCATGGATGAAATAGTGCATTAATTCATATATTGAGTCAGACAGAGTATAATGAACATTGTTTCATTTTAATATGCTCTGCACTTTATGTCCTTCAAGCATATATAATTATCTCCAAGAGAATGTCAAATTTTAAAAACTGATATATACTTAGCTTTAAATGAATTCACTGTACACATTTTCAAAATGCAAAGTGCTCGATTTATATGTTTCTAATTTATGATTTTTTTTTCTCTTTCTTTTCCCTATAAGTATTGATTAAAGTCAAGGTTTCCCTTTTTTTTGTAAATTGAAGATCTGACTGAACAAATACCTGCAATCGATTATAATGTTTTCGCTAAGTGCATCTTTATAAAAACTGACAGGGATGTGCAATTAACTATATCATTGCGTTAATTTATTGCATTTCAATCATTGTCGAATAATTGTGAACAATAAAACTGTTTGCGTAAGCGATTCGATTTTTGTTCTCATTGTGTTTTCTCCTATGAAGTTAGTCATCTTTTCCTTGTGCCTATATACATATTCGTGCACGAAGCAAATTGTACCTTCATACTTTCAGTAAATAAAAATTTCATATAATTGTGTTTTGGATTTTCAAACGATAAAAACGCTTTTTACTGCTGTTACATTGCAGGAAAAATCCATTGACTGAACTTTGTTAATTTTTAATCTGCAATGATTGTATCCGATAAACATAGTATTACAAAATAGACATGTCATTGCTTGTAATTATATATGTTTAATGTACTGTATTTATCGATCCGTATATTACAATGTTGGAGAAACCATGAAACAGTTAAACTTTAACACTAATATGATTACAGTTGGCTTTAAATAATGGATTTAAATTATTTAGGAACTGCTTCAGATAAACGGCAATATGGTATCATTCATTGATTTGTTAATGAAACTAATTCTCTTTCGAACAAATCCGGGCCCTCGTATCATTTCATTCTAAGCACTTATTGAAAACAGTAGAAATATTAGTACAATTATTTGAGAAATACAGCCGTAAAAAATGAAATGAATACAAATACCAAACGTAAGCATTTTCTTTAAGCATTCCTAAACCTAATTTTTTATCGTCATTCAAAGCAAACTTTTACAACTGGCAGTTATACAGTTGCTTGGGATTTTTTTTAGTTATTATTTTTAGTAATTTATCTGTCTTTCCTCTACTAAAAGGTCGTATATTATCTTCTTATTTTTTTTTTAACGAGAAAGCATGTATAGTATTGTTATCATAGCAAAGCCTGACGGCTTGTAACAGAAAGGGCTTAAATTACACTAGTAACTCTTCAAAGTTTTCATGAAAAAGGGTATATAATAGCAAAAAATATATATATAAAATGCGAGAAGCGACCCTGACTTTTTTACAAACTAAAAGTTGGAGATATTAGACTTTATTTCTGAGCTTTCTTCTTCGATTCTAATGGGCGTTCGCTTTGAGATCAGAAGGCCCAGATTCGATTCTTGTTCGTCGTGCACCGTCAAACCAAAGACATAAAAGTAGGAAGTGGCTGTTCTTTCTCCAAGCGCGCGGCATAACATGTGAAAAGTCACGAGTCTTTTTGATGAGACCTAAAAAAAAAAAAAAAAAAAAGAGGTCCCGAGCAGGTATGTTAAAGCAGCACGCAGATCAGAATTCGCCTATTACACTTTTTTGTCAATTGTAATATTGTTAAATCGGAAAAGTCGGAGAAACATTTACTATCATTATCCATTTTATAGACATCAATGAGTGAGGCACTCCACTACAACGTCATCAAGTGACGTCTAAAAATAGAAAAAGATGGCTGAATGAAAAAGTGAAAAGTTCAACACTACGAAAAGTGCTGCTAGAATCCTATACTCATATCACAGAAAAAATTATTCCACACTTTCAGATGAAACCTTACCAAGTTTTTTTTTTACATTTTGTACATATGATCGAAACATTTTCAGCAATTCACGTTTACCACACGATTCTAGCAGCACTTTCCAAGAACTAAAGAATAAGAACCTTCGATAGAAACAAAAATTGTGTCAAAGTAGTGTTTGCATCTTTGTTGTTAAGAACGACATATAGTTCACGTCATATAGGTTACCGTGACGACTTGTGAAATATACGGAAATAAATGAAATATTCTTAAATAATATTTATTTCACTGGTAATTTACAATGGGCATTTATTTCCGTATATTTTATCACATGTCGAATATTCCATGTACGAGTGAATAAATCCGCACATATTCACCCTACGTAGTCGCACACTTTGGAAAGATTTCTAGTGTTCGCCTACTGCATATTGTACCATCTAGCGTTAACCAATAATGCAAGAATACATCTACTTTTGATGATACATGTACTTCTTTCATCTGAGTTTTTTAAATGATTCATGGAAATAAAACTCTAAAGAAATCACAGATTTCTTTATTAAGTCAAATCTGAGGAACATTTTATATGCATATACTAGGTACTAAACAACGTTTACATGTATTCAAACAACTTTGCTTCACATATTTTGAAAGTGCATATAGTATGTTCAAAGACAATAAAAAGCTTCAAAGTTTTCTTATTTTATCTTTGTTATCCTAATTTCTGAATGGTATTTATATATATATATTCTTTTATTCCTCACAGCAAATTTTTACAATTCTGTTTGAAGATAATAATGCATAAAACCACAAATTTCTTAAAGTACATGATCTAGCCTATTGGATTATTAGACAACAGTTGGCATATGATTACACCAGCAAAGTGAATTTTATTGCTAATTTAATTAGCTCGGTACCTATTATACTCAGCATCTCGTTAACTCGGCACGTAAACTAATTAAATAATTAATAATTTTATAGATGAAAAGAATTTTAGATTTTTTATCCTTCTAACTGTTATCTTTCACTTTTATTCGTGTTTAACTTATTAGTTTTCGTTCCGGATCCGGAGTTGATCTTCAAATTTGGACAAGCTCACTCTGTCTACATGACAATGACTAAAGGAACATTATACGAAAATTGAGACTCCGATCAAAGAAAGGCTTGTATTACTTTTGTGGCCCTGGAACCTGCATGCTTTTTAAAAAATGTATCCTGGGGATTTTATTAAAAAATAAAATACTGAATTATAGTACAATAAAACACGCTTATAATGATCACGCTTATAATAATTTGACGCTTATAGCGAGGTGATTTTCATTCAACATATCTTTAAAATATATTGTTAACTTATCGTATATAACGAATTACTTTTATAAGGAATCAAAATCGTCCATCCCGCCACTTCGTTAAACGTGTTTTACTGTAATTTTTAACATTTTGAATGTTGTCTTGTATATACATTGTTTATACATGTATCAATACGCAATTCTTTACTGACAACAAGTATCACTGATACAATGAAACAATTTGAGTTGGAAATAATTTATTCTTATTAATTTAATTAATTTGCTTAAGTGTTAATGGAGTCTCATCCTTAGCCTTTACATAACTGTCACACCATCCTAACTTGTGTACTTCAGATACATCTTTCTAGACCCTAATTTACTTCGATAACGGTTACAATTGGCTCCTGCTTTGGGAACCGGGTATTCTCTGAGGAGTGAAAGTAAATGTCCCCTGAACTTCATCCTATAGGCGCTTTCACTCCTAAAAGAATGAAGACTTTCATTTTTATGGAGGGGAACAATATAGAAATCTAGCGGATAAACCCTTCACCTCGATTGGCAGAACACTACATGGTGCCAGAGATCCGGGGTTCAACCCAACCGGAGGTAAAACCTGTTTCTATTGCATTGTAAATGTATAAACATACAATTTACTGTAGAAAAGTGGAATTTGCAGACTGCGCGCTTTTTAGTTAATTTTACTTAATGGCTCTATTTTTATTTTTCTTTCTCAAATCGGACAATTTTTAGTAACCGGTTACTCGCTTACTTTTCCGATCGAGTAACCAGTTATTCGGATAGTTTTTCGCATTCTTGTTCGCGGTACATACTCAGTTGTGATATATATTGTATGTAATGTCGTAACGATTTCTATAGTTACCTTATCATTTGTATATCAGAATATACAAACCACAAATGCACTGCACATGAACTTTATTTATAATATTACGAATACACACTCTCTTCTCAGTAAATTTGTCCTCGAACACCACGTAATCGTTGGCTGCTTTGCGCTTTAAACAGTGCGACATTGAACTCCGGACACTTTTTACTACCATTTCTAATTGTGATGTTCAAAAAATAAATTATATCTCACTCATCATAATATACGGAATATACCCCATGTTTAACAATGTATTGGAGAAAATGACTCATTGTCAAAATTCGTGGGATTTATCCCATTTGAGCAAATTTATGGGAGAAAAAAATCCCAAAGGGAGAAAATATCCCATCTGACACTTTTTCTCCCAAGTGAGAAAGTGGGATAGTTGTTAGGACTAAAAATCCCACCATTTTCCCATGGGATTCTGACTTTTAGGACTTCATATCTTTTAAAAAAAAATATTTGAGTGTTCAACATGAGACCCGTAGATACTGCTAAGAAATCCTGCCAAGTGCTATAATTTATTTTTGGACATCACAATTAGAAATGGTAGTAAAATGTCTGGACAATGTCGTGTTCGGAGTTAAATGTCGCACTGTTTTTATATATCGCTGGTTTCACGGTTAAACTTCGGTCTGAGGTGGTTAAGCACTTTAGTTGTCCCACCCGTGTATGTTAATTCCATATCACATAATTTACACCTTACAGATTTAAATTCAGCCATTCTATTAAAAATGTTTCCATGCTTTCGATGCCTGTGGTGGCATTTTCTTTAATCTTATACTGCAGACCAGCACAGGATAATGTGAGGTAATTATAATTAAATCAAGCCTTCTTGTTAACACCTTGGCAATCAAAGCCATCAATTAGATAAACTGTAAAATACTAATCAAAACAAATCAATTGCATTTGTAAAGCGCTAGGTCGAGACTAACGTTAAATAACGGTAAATAAAATGGGGACTTAATAAACAAAACTACATTATTTTTACTGATTTACTTTATAAATTCAACATATCCGAGTAACCGAGAAGCAGTTTTACTGACCGATAATCGCCTCGTTCGACGATTAACCGGTTAACCGGGTACTCGATGACAACACTAATATAATATAATATAATATAATATAATATAATATAATATAATATAATATAATATAATATAATATAATATAATATAATAATATAATATAATTTTTACCGAGTACATTTCTGGTTAATTTTACTTATTTGATAACTCTGTTTATTCTTTCTTTTATCATTGAACCTTTTTTAAGTGTGAATAAAAAAAACATTCTTATTCATCAGATGCCGAGTTAACCGAATGCCGAGTTCACCTTTTTCAGGTACCAAACGAATTCACCATGTACCTAGTTGACTTCTACCAGGCTATTGACGAAAGTCCATTCCTATTCCATGTTTTGGGTCCAGATCTTGAGGGTTAACTGGAAACAAAGGTATAAATATCTTTAAAGCAATATGAGCTGCATGTTTGAGAATCTTGTTTTGCTGTTAGAATTTGTTATGATAAATTTGTATGTAATTTTTACGTTTTTGATCAATAAGACAGATATAAAGTAACAATTGTTTTAGAATAAAGGATTTTGTACAATCAATTATATAGTATTACGTAAGAAATCAATATTGTACAGGATGACAATAATGTAATTTTGCTTCAATCAAAGCTTATAAACAGTTCTTCTATCGAAGATATGAACAACAGGTTCATAAACATTCTTTTTTTTCTGTCATGGAAACAGTTAATTACAATTTTGCAACAACAATTTCTGATATCTAAGTTGCAACTCATATTGCTTTAAATGAAACAAAGTTATGCATAAATTTAGTCATGTTTATTAAGATAATCATTTGTCTCCATACCTTTCTCAACAAAAATTCTCCAATTATTTGGTCTTCCAATCTCATGTACTTTGTGCCTTTTCGTGCAATAAACACTGCTTCCCGCGGGAAGAAACTCAGTCACTCAGTAACATTCTCATCAGCATTGAACATCACGAAATATCCATATCATTGCAGCACATCATTATCCATTCAAACTTCAAAGCGTTATCAATAACACCTTTCCAAACCGATTTGCATCTTCAACCCTTTCGTTTTAATTTATTACGGCTATTAGAGCGATCTTTATTTACGATTGCAATATTGTAATATTTGTGTAAGTCACAGGAGTAAATTTGAAAGGAAAACCCATAGGATTAAAAACTTTCCTAGGAAATGAGTAGATATGGTATATGATTTAGTCTATTTAGGAAGTCGGGATTTGATCACTTGACCAACCCACTTAATTTCCAAGTGATGTTGTTAACCCTTTTATTGATTTTTTTTTTTAAAATGTACATATGGATTTAGACCTATTTTTTAAAAAAATTCATCATAAAAATTAACCAAGCTATATATATCTATGCTCGCTTCCCTTTTTGACTCCTGATTAATTTTGCCAAGGAAATGATTTATAATATTGTGTAAATTGCTTCTTTTTTATTATATCAACATTCTACATAATTGTGCCATGAGTATTCTTTTGAATGCATGTCCAATGTAACGTTTGCTGATTTCATTCATTTTTTTCTACAGGCATTTGTATTTAATTAGAAGTTATAAAAAGCAACACATATTAAAAGATGATTATATTATTATATAATAAACGAATTAATCTTCTCTTACCTTCTCATAAGTTCTAACCGCTACAAAATAATACATTAAGAAAAACGAATATTTTTCCCTTTAAACGAAATGTATTTTTTAGGAAAAAAGATGTTCCCATCCTTTGCACCACTTCTCCAATGGAAACTGTAACGGTGCTTGATCCTGCATTTTAATATTTGATTTGTTTGTCTGTACCGTCAAGAAATACAAGACAGACCACCATTTCATGCATCGAGTGTCGATATTTCAAATAATTCCCATTTAGTTCCTGTCTGTATACGTCTGTGAATTTTCACATGAGCGAGTTGCTTTCAGCATGTCCAATAGTTTGATTGAGAATGGTTAGTAATGTAATATAAAATGCATTACTTACGGATAATCAATGAAATGTTGTTGTGTTAATTAGTTATTTGTCAAACAATGAATAGTTGGTAAAGCTTGCAGTTTGAATTAAGTTTCATGTTTCACTGAATAATAAAATATTAAATTTAAAAGATAACAAAGCTAAAAATAAAAAAATGTACTATAGCACCGCAACGAAAAATATGATTAAAAAACTGAAATATTTTGAACAATATTTCTCCTAAGCTTAAAAAAACTGTTTTTCTATTCGGAATGTATTTAACTTTGTTTTTACTCACGAACGCTATTAAAATAATGTACATAAGCTACGGTATTTGAAATATTTGTTTAAAAAAGAATATGAATGATCTATTGGAAAATTTATAATAAAGTTCTATGTGTACCTTATTTAACTAATAGTTCTCATTTTGTCAACATCTGTTAATGCATCGCATGGATTGTGAAGTTGTCAAAAAATCAATGTTAAACTTAGTTCTTGATATTTCAAATTGAATAGAAATTTTAATGGAAAAAGGGCGTCTCTCCGCATTGCATGTTTGTTTAACAGAAAAAATAGCACACAAATGTTAGCCATTGATTAAAAAAACAAATTTAGTTAGGATGGTTGTTTTAACGTATTCTATTGAATAAGTCTAAGATAAAGATTGCTGTGAAATATTTTATGTTTTGAATTACCTTTATCTCTTACATGATAATAAAAGTATCTAAACTTTGAAAATTAAGAACGATTGATGCATATTTGATTCTTGTATTTTGGATGTATCACGTGATTGTTTGGAGCTTTGCTCATTTCATTTAGTTAACATAATTAGTGGGGATATAACTATATAACTATAGGGTTTAACTAATATATATATATATATATATATATATATATATATATATATATATATATATATATATATATATATATATATATATATATATATATATATATATATATATATATATATATATATATATATAATTTCAGTTTCAAAAATGAGAAATTCATAAAACATGCCTGCAGTGTAAAAAGTCAAAAAATCATATCAGATGTCATTCTAAATTGTCGCTCAATTTACAGTGTTTGCTAAATAATATAATTTAATAGATAAATGCAAAGAAGAGAATAGCTAAGGCGCGCATTATTACTTCATAATACTCATTTATTTAAAATCAGAATTGTTCAAATTTACAGATATTTTAATTTTTCCGGCTAATCGACTACAGATTTTTAACCGATTACAATCATTCCGTCTTGATTAGAAGGTCATGGGTTCAAACTTTGGCAGCGATGACCTAATGTGCGTTTCTTTATTAACCTTTTTTTTTCTAAAATATCAGTTAAATTTTACATGATTTACCGTTTCTGCAACAGACATTTGTTGAATATGAGATATATATGCTGCTGAATGTTTAATACGAATTCAATACAAGAAATCCCGTGGGCAACATTTATATTGACTTTTAAATAATTCAATAGTGACATTTCCTATCTCTTAAATATTCTGTTATATTGAGCCTTGCTTTCATTTGTGTTCTGCTTTAGGTGTAGGATAGCAATTCCCTTAACGTTCATTACATCTAAAATGCACATTTGGAAAGATTCTTTATGAAGAGGTATGGAGTTTCCTATTCCAGTCACTAAATATACACAAAATGGCATTATCTTCAAAGGGTATTGGGTCACTTTCCTTTTTGTATTTGAACATATTAAAAATGCATTCGATATTTGGATATTTTGTTAGAAAAAGACATTAATGGTAACCTAACAATAAAGCTTTATGATAAACGTGATACTTCATTTTTTCCCAATCATTTGAAGGAGCACACGGTGGGTGTGACCGGTTGGCATTGGATGCTCACTCCTCCATGGCACTTGATCCCACCTCCGATGTATTTCGAGGTCCGTGTTTGCTCTGTTCGCGATTTGTATTGTCTAAATAGACTTTGAGCGTAAATTCTGCTTGTTATCTCCATATTTCATTGATAAAAGTCATTCTTAAAACCTCTCAATATTACAATTACTAGTGATAACCTTAAACATTATAAGTGTCTTTTACCTATTTTTCTTTAAAACATATAATAAAATTTTATGTGATGAAAAAAGTCCAGGGGCTTAAAAGTTTAAGTGTGATTTAAAGTGATAAAAAGAGATTGAATGACATCTTTTATCAATGACTTTTTTGGCTATTAATACACTACTATTTCAAGATTAGAAAGATCGATTTTATCGTATAAAAAACAAACCTTCTATATTACGAAATAGCCATCAATGCTATTGTTCTGAATGTAAAGAAGACAGTATAACACACAATATTGGAAGAACAATAGCCCATAACCAACTTCTTTTATTGTTATGCCTTCAATAAAATAAATTTAATTCCTCATTCAAGCCATTATCATTACGAATATACATTGCGAAGGAAACATTGAAAAATCGATACCTCTTTCAAATGCATGTTGATTTCACGGTTCTGGTTTTCTGTTACGACATTCTCGATCAAATGTTTCAAAACAAAATACACTCCTAGAATGTAAATAGAATAGTTTTTTCTTTATAATAGAAACAAAAACAGCTCCTAACGTACACTAAGAGGCCATTGTGACCTCAGATAAAATTTAAATACTTTTACATGTTTTCTCTAATTCTTAGTTATTGATAAAGTGTTGTTTTTTTCTCTTTTTTATATTTTCAGTGTTATTACATTGTGTAACTGGTTCATTCTTAATAATTCTCCAAATAAAAATATTCCTAAAAAAAATTAAAACTGCAACGATTTAAAAAGTCTACGAGAGATATCATGATTCATTGTACTCGAACAGCGAAATCGAAATAATCATTCTCATGTAACAAACGTTACCCTAAGTGGCTCATACTTTGATATCATTGCCATTATATAGCAAGACATTCTCTCCAAAACACGTTACAGTAAAAAGCGTTTATAAAGAAGTACCAAGGGCAAGGGGGAATAAAAATCACTTCGCTGTTGGCATCAATTCATTTAAAGCGTGTTCGCTATAAGCGTGTTTTACTGTATATGGTCATCAGAAAACGGACCTGCATGACGTCATCAGCTTTATATGTTCTAATATCTACTGTAGATTCCTTATTTTACGTGAGTACTTTATTTTACAAAATGACTCCAAAAAACATAATTTCGCGAGTGGACTGTTGATCAAGATGTATTTCAGCATTATAAACTACATGTAGTGGTGCCTCTCGCAAAATTATGTGTACACGATAATAAATTCCCCACGTTTAAAGGAAATACAACGGTATAGAAAGGTTAAGAATGATTTATATCAGGTGTTTCTTAAATTATGAAATGTGGAGATAACGCACTGTATTCAAGCTCAAAGTCCATTAAAACAATATAAATCGGGAGCAGAGCAAACATGGACCTCCAAAAACATCAGAGGTGGGATCAGGTGCCATGGAGGAGTGAGCAATATATGACGAGATCGGTGTCTTATCTTTGACTTAATTGAAACCTGGTCAGCTGATTTACTTTTCTACAAAAAATGTAGATTCAGCTCAAGTATGAATTGACCTTGTGATTGACCTTGTGTTTAGAGCAATTTCCATGTCCAATTTCAAACAAGGATAAAAAGCTTTTCATGTTTAGAATTCATGCTTGCACTAACTGGTACTTTGTTTATAATATAAGTATATAAATAAAATACTTAAATTTATAAAACCTATGCTTTATCCACGGGTATGCTTTATCAATAGCCGGTTTTGACACAAGTCCTCGTTGCAAGATGAAAATTTATTGAAACTTCTATTTCTAAAAATTTCTGAGTTATAAAATGGATATTAATGAGCAAAATTGTTCTTTGAAAAAAATTAAAACCTTTTTTTTTATATCACAATGAAATATATATTTATATATATCTTTAAAAAAATCACAACACCGAAATAAACTCTACCAGTTTCATTTTCAATCTTCAGGAGTTTGATCAAACTCCTGAAGATTGAAAATGAAACCGGTAGAGTTTATTTCGGTGTTGTGATTTTTTTTTTATATACGACTACGTGTGGATTTATATTTATAACTCATTTTAAATTTTCTGGAATTGGCTATAGGTTTCTATTCAAATACGACTGAAATGAGGCAAATCTGTCAAATCGATAAATGTAGACGTCATGAAGAGTTGAAATATATTTCTGTAAATATTTATAATTCAACAAATTTAGTTTTTTGCTGTTTAAAATATTAAAATATTGGAAAATATTTGCAGATGATTGATTGTATGTTGTTTTACTTCCCATTCGAGAACTCATTCACTCATATAAAGACGTCACCATGTACAAGTGAAGGGCTTGAAATTGAGACCTATACCAGGCACTCAGGGCCATTGAGCAGTGAAGGCCTTCCAGACACAAGACCTTGGTTTTTAAGGGGAAGAAGGACCATGATCAGATCGTGTAATGAATGACGTCACCGACTTGCTGTACGCTCAGTGTAGGGAAACAGAGAAGTGGATCAATCTTTTTCATTATTTGTTAATGTTTACAAGAGACTATGACGTAGTAAAACCAAGTCATGTGACCATGTGTCCTTCATCCCTTAAGGTCTCATCCGAAAGACGCGTGACTTTCACGTCTAGTCCCGGGCACTTGGCAAAGGAACAGCCACAAACTATGCTTACTTCTTAGGTTTGACGCGGCGCGGCGAAAGAGAATCGAACCCTAGGCTCCCGATCACGAACCGAACGCCTATTTGCAGATGAAGTTTTTGTTTGTTTTGTTTGTATGTTTGTTTGTTTGAGAATTTTTCTTACATATTGAGACGTCACCACTTGCCAGTGAAGGGCTGCAAATTTAGACAAGTAAGTAAGGATGAAATCCTCCGTGACTCTAGAGCAAACGCTCTAACCACTGCGGCAAGCGGGTGACTGCATATGAAGTAGAAACATAACTCTATAGACTAAACATAG